AATTTAGCTGGTATCGTGATGATGTGGTGATAAGTCACTTTGTTGTGTAAGAGTAATAATTATCATCAATTGAATTTTGTTTTACGAACTGTTAAGTGTTTTTTATCTCATATATAACACTGTGACAGTCGTCATTAGCCAAGTAATATTTTTTGCTTTTTTGTTCTTGGCTTATGTCATTTATTGCAATTATGCACCACAACACCACGAATTAATTTTTTTTTTTTTCGATCTTTCAATTGATTCTCATTTGTTCCAAATACTATAACGATTATTTTTATTTGGTTACATAGTTTCAGATACGGACAATATATATCACAATAGTATAGATATATATATATATATCTGTGTGTATGTGAAAGAGAAATAAAAATAGTCATATATTCTATATATAGATATAGATATAAATATGATAGTGATAATTTTAAATTTAATCAAAACTCCTAAAATTAAGAGTTGTTAGTTTTTAAATGTGTTTTAATTAAACATAATTATTAGGAATATTTTGAACAATAAAGATCAAAATAAAATTAATATTAAACAAATTTTCTTAATAATTTATCACCAAATAAGTCTAGAAAAGGGCAGCCTCCAAATTTTCCTTTTTCTTAAGCCTTCCGATGTGGGACGGACAGCTTTTGTTTTCTTTGGACTTCTCCGGCACTGCTTTTCAGTATATGCTTTGGGAATATTTTTTGTGTTTTTATTTAATCTACTATTACATGAAATATGTTATTTTTATAATTATTCTAACTTTTTAGCAAATTATTCTTATTAGTAATTGTTTTTATTTTTTACTATACTACCGACCATTTGACATAACTTTTGAACCAGTAACCCATTAATCCGACCTTTCTATCGGTTTGGTATTGAGCTGATAACTATGCTCTTTTCTCCACCTTTTATGTCTCTCATTTCTCTGCTTTTCTCTGACGATTGTGAATTATTATTCTACACTGGAGACGAAAGTGATAGAGGAGAGGAAATAATGGGGGCTGGAGTAGTGATGGTCACAAAAGCGATTGGGGTCGATTTATCATGGTGGTAGTGATGATCTGGATTTGGAGAGAGGAATCGACTGCAATCTTTGGGTATCTGTCGATTCTGATTTTTAAATTTTGATTACGAACAAGAGGTTTTTGATTTTGGACTTGGACTTGCAAGTTTTCAAAGCATTACAAGAATGACTGGGTGTGGTCTCTGTTCATGTGGCGACTGATTCTGATGATTTTTATTTGAATTTGGTGCACAGTGAGGACAGATTTTGATGATTGTCTTTGGATCTGCTCCTTCGTTTTGATCAAAAATAATAAACGAACGTTTTAGTGGCGGGAGAGATTCCAGTTCAACGGCTGCCTCAGTTTGAGATTTAAGAATTGGATATCACTCCATTTGAGCGACTGTGTCAAAGCTATTAGAGGTCATTCATGGCGACAAAGAAGGTGGAAGGTGACAGAGAAGAAGAAGAAAGAGCTTTGTCGAGCAGCCCCTGATTAACAACTGGCCTTGCGTCCACTGTCCCTACCCAAAAAAACACCGGTACCAAAACTCCAACGGTTATTGCTAGTTGACACAGTGGTAACTGAGACATGAAGAAATTATTATTTAGGCCTAAAATGTCCAAACGATGAGGCTAACTCTATCTATGTATAGAATCCAGAAGTTGTCCTCTCCAAAATACAAGTAAGATTGTTCATCACTTTCCTCTCTCAAGTTTCTGGCAGGAAAAAAACTTCACAATTCAACCACAAGGCAACCAGTAATTTTGCTACAGCAAAGATTTATAGTGTGATTGTTGCAATCGAATATTAAAAAAAAAACAAAAAAAAAAAACCACGTTGATCAACGGGAGAGCAAGCTTTGGAGGTACCTCTCCACATTGTTCAGCCCACATTGTTCCTTCACAGTGGGCATGATGGCAGGGACCTCTAGCTGGAATCTGGAATAAGACCCATCTAATCCATTCCAACAAAAAAGTTGTTTTCTGGCTTCTTCAATGGCTGCTCTTGTGGCACAGTAAACTGAAACTGCCAGAAGTAATGGTGGCTCACCAGAAGCTGCAAAGAATTGATTCAATACAATTCAGCAACCAAAAGAAAAACGGCCTCATTCAGTATGGTATATATGGGGGCATGCATTCATATGAATGGAGAGCACTAGGAATCTGACAATCAGACAAGTAGATCAACAATTGTTTTAATAATAACACAACGTTGTGGACAAATTGAAATAAAAGAATAATTATGTGTTTACACCCTAAGCTTCACAAGTCAAATAGTATATGCCCGCTGCAGCAATACCAATCGCTGAGAGGCTAGAAGTGTACAATTTTATGATAGTCAGCCCTGCATATAAATTAAGATGTTTAGAGTTACATTAACAAACCTTGCCCTCACTGACCCCCAAAAAAAAAAAGGCCTTGCCCTCCAAATGTTCTTTATATAGAATGTTTTTACATTCCTCATTTGTAATTGACTAAAGCAATCACATATTTCTCCGGTTAAATACATCCAGATGATTACCCATCAAAAACTTCAAATTATGTTCATCATTAACATGCTAGAAATTCCCTCCCCCCCCCCCCCCCCTAAAAAAAAAAGATTTAGTGGCTCGTGTTAATAAGCAAGATCATCCCTAAATGAAGTTGGCTTTTCAAGTTTTTGACAGAATGCACATACTAAACATACCTTTAGAGGAGAGAATACGTTTTTGATGATGTCCACTGTTAAGTACCTCAACATTGAACTCTTTGGGTATGGTATCAAGTGTCGGAATCTTGTATGTCCATGTTCCATTCCCAGTCACTAATCCATCTGAGTTTGTAAGGTATTCTTCAAGCATAAAAAATCCAAGTCCCTGTACAAAAGCCCCCTCAATCTGCACGAAGTTCAAAAAGCTCATCATTGACACCAGATTGGTCCAATATTCAGAATTGCACATTTCAAATCTAATCTCAGAAAGCTTAAATATCTCAACTTTTTAGAATGTGTCCTCATACGAAATGAAATTGGAGCTTAACTTAAATATGTACCGTCAAAACAACATACAACCAAGAGGTTATGAAGGATGAAAACTTCTTAACCTCCTCATTAGAGAGTTATGTGTACTTAAGCCAACCTGTCCCAAATCCACAGCTGGATTCATGCTCTGTCCGCAGTCATAAATAATATCTGCTCGCAAGATTCTGGTTTCTCCAGTCAATAGGTTTACCTCAACCTGCAACACCAGCAGCTTCTTTCTCAGTATTAAGATTTATAAAGTGCTGATGCAGGATAGATGTCCCACAGAACTATAAAATTCGGTAAATATACTGGGCACTCCAGCAATACTCAAAAAAAGAAAGGAAGAAGGGCCGGGGGGGGGGGGGGGGGGGTTGTAATGCAATCCAGATGTTCCTATAAGAGGAAAAGGTGTAATAAGACAAACTAACCTCACTCACTGCAGCACCATAATTCAAGTATTGCATGGAAGTGAACTCAGGCACAAAGTAAGTACTTGCTGACAAGTTTACAGATTTGTAATTGGCCTGCACTTTTACAATGAGAAGATTGAGATCTCAACATTCTTAAAGAAACATGAGCATAAAAAAAACTAGTCAAATTTTTCTATACTGCTCATTCACAACAACAGTAATGGCATCTTCCTTTATACCGAATATTTGAAATGACTGCCTATCATGATTCACCATTTCATATCATCTAAGCCAGATTTTTGGTTAGTCTTCTCATTCTAGCAACACCCTCAATCTAATAGTATTCTGATTTTCTCTCATAATAATTTCAATTTTGTACTAGTCCTCACATTGTGAATGTGTTTCTTATCCTTCCTTGTCTTGCTGTAAATTTTCCGGCTGCATATTTTATTATTTTTTGGCATTGCTCAATCAAACCTTCTTATACTTAAAATCAAGATTGTAGCATTTAATTTTTCATGCTGCACAAGTATTTCAGTATTTTTTTCTGAGAGGTATAACAACCTTAATGTAATTCTTCTGACAAAAGCTTTCTAGAGAGCACCATAAAAATTACAATTAATAGGTCAATTGTCTACCATAATTTCGTAAAATGCAAATATGAACAAAGTCTAGAAATGCTGCCACAGGAATAATGGTTTCCTGAAGTAGTACACACACCTAAAGCAACCTAAAGGACCAAGTCTTTGTTATATATATATATATATATATACATATACATAATAAATAGAATATTTACTAATAAGGACATACTCAATTATATAATACAAGTACATGTCACTTGAACATTAAAATTTGGTGGGAACTCAAAATTTCATCATTTCCTCCAAAAATTGGGATTGAGCATTGGAGGGTGAATTCAAACATTTTGGATTCATCCCACATAGTGTTCTATGTTCCTTTTGGGTTCAAAGGCTCTCCTAGAACTAGAGAGGAGACTTTCATTCTCATCCCAAGAGCCCAAGGAATTCCTCATAAGAGGAGACCCGTATAATGGGAACTTCTAGTAATAATAATTTTAATATATATATATATATGTAAGAAAGAAGAAGGGGCAACGGTTGGGAAACCAGGAAGGAACTGTTGTTGAAGTTATTTCCTGGTTTACAAATCAGTTCAAAATTTTGAATTTTAGTTGCTCATTGGCAGCTGTTGGGGATTTCTTCCTAACAGATACCAATCAAACCACTGTGGCTTTTCCAGAATGGTGACTTTTGCCTTCTGGAGGAAGAGTTGTGACTTTTCTGAAGGAACTCTATAAATAGGGTTCCAATGCAAGGTTGTGGAATAATAAAGTCATTCACTCTCTTTCTCTCTTATTTTGAATTCCTTCCTTCTACAAGTTCTTCTGCATTAATTCTACTTTCTGTTTTTGAATTCGGGTTGAGTGCTCGGTTCAAAGACTTATAAGAAGTGCAGTCTTAGAAAGTTTTGAGTTTAGGCATTGTATCCATGATAGAATTTCCAAGGGTTCATCTGGATTGTGGTGGGGAAATTACTATCTCGAAGATAGAATCCTGGATTGTCCTTGCCTAAAGGTTTTGTTTTCTAATTTCAGTTTATTATTTCTTTCTGTTTTCAATCATCGTTATTTCTACAACAGTCTTTTAAGTCTAGAAAGGTTATAAAGCCATTAAAATTCCAAAAACTAAGCAAAAGGAATTTCAATAACAATAAATCTCCTTCTTGTTCAGCTCAATAATCAGGAACAACAATTTTTTATCATTTTCATTAAACAAAGAAAAATATCTGTCAGAGATTATTATTAGGACCTTACTAATTTATCATAGATATACGAAAAAGCAAATGAGATGAGCAAGCATTAATAATGAAATCATCATTTAGTCATCTATGATTTTGTAATGATACATAGCATATTACATTTAGAAATCATATGTGAAATCTACATGATTAAATGGCATCATTCATTTATTAAATTAGCATTCTCAACTTTCATCATCATCTGAAAACAAACATAGGAAATTATACTGCCCAGAAAAAAAATAGAACAAATTAGAATATGATTACACAATACTAATTCCGAGTTAAAATAAGAAGTCACCTAACATTTCAAGGATTTTCATTTTATGCTTAAAAAAAAGGAACCACTAAAACAAAACTTGAAATAGAAAGTGACCAAGGGTTGTCAACATGGCTCTTAAATAGTGTTAGGTATTATAACTGAGCTGCAAGTTAGGTAAGCAATTCAAGCCAGCTGACGTTGAATAAGGTTTATGTGTTTTCCAGATGTTTTTAGCTGTACCAGGCACCCCCCCCCCCCCCCCCTCTTTTCCCCAGGGAAAAAAAAAATAAAGAATCAATAACGATGATAATGACACCAAAGGAAAAAGCGAAAAGGAGAGATGAACATAATTTAGATTCCTACTGTGAGTTTCTTTCCAATTTAAGTCAACAACACAGTTGTACAACACTAGCGAAAGATGTTGGAAACAGACTAGCCTAACATAGGCTCAACAAAAAAAAAAAACTACAAAAGAGCACATAAACACAAATGTTCAATTTTTTCCATCAAATAATATAGTTTTATACGAGATGAATTTGTGTACACCTATGTGCCAATATACACATGCATAACATAGGACAGACATCAAAGGAAAAAACCAATGTTTCAACAAATAAAACATTTCAACAAATAATACAACAGAATTTCAAGTCAAATAAAAACAGGAGCTCCCAAATATCATGTGACATCGCCATCATCTGAGAAAATGATGAATACAACTTTTTCGTAGAAACTGTCTTATTGTTTAATCAATAACAAAAACACTTGAAACCAACTCGTGGGCTTTAACAAAGCTTAATATGTAAAGCTGTCATTTGATAGATTTCCGTGAATGATGTAGAACTCTAATCTACATTGTCCTTGTGCTAGGATAGAAATAATTAATACCGATCAAGACTGATCTGAGTTATAGGATTATGAACATTATTGGTGTTAGATGAATCTAGTATATAGTAATCTAGTATATTAGCATTAGGGGTAGATTAGTCATTTATATTACTATGTTTTGCCCTAGTATAAATTCGTTTGTAATACAGATCTAGTTTAGACTTGATCAATATATTTTTCCTCCTTCATTGATAAACATCAACATGGTATCAGAGCTTTAATCCCTAAACTCAAATAATAAATTATGATTAAAGTCTAGAAGAAGAGAAGACCTGATGAACCCGACGACGTGAAGACCTGGTCAAACCCGATGACAAACAGCACTGACATCATCATCGCCGACAATGACATCATCAGTCTGCGATCGTGAATACCACCATCATGATCGATTCTTCATGGGTTTCTCATTGGTGTGCTCCCTTTCTTACTTTAAGTTCATCTTGTAAGTCTTCTGCTTTTTGGTTTCTTGTCTTCACAGTGCACCGACTACCTCCTTCTATCTGTGTTGTGGTCTATTTTGTGGATTTCTTGTGATCGGCTAGCTGTTTCTTGCTTCTACTGTACATCGGTGATTGCTATTCTTGTGGATTGCTACTGTGCATCGGTTCTTGCTTCTGTTTCTTGTGGATTTTTGTTTCTTGTGGTCGGCTGGTGTTGTTGGGTATTCGGTGTTGCTGGGTTCTATTTCTTGTGGATTTTTGTTTCTTATGATCGGCTGGTGTCGCTTGGTATTCGGTGTTGCTGGGTTGCTAGGTTTATTGTTGTTTTCTGCTTTATTTTGGGTATTATTTTGCTGAGACATTATGACAAGTGGACATTCTGATTAAATGGTAAAAATTATGTATATTGGTCTTATGAAGAATTTTCTCTTAGGGAAAGAAATGTGGAGTTATGTTAGTGGTGCTTTGCAAGCTCCGACAGATTTGAAGGCAGAGAAATATGCTAAATTAAGAATACCTAGGAAATCAACAATGCTAAAATTATCACTTAGATTAACAACTCAGTTGATCAAACCATTGGTATGCATTTGGCTAAGTTTAACACAGCTAAACAGATTTGAAATTATTTAGCTACATTGCTTGTTCAGTCCAATTTTGCAAAGAGATATCAGCTTGAGCATGAAATTCGACCTGCATGTCAGGGTAATAAGACCATATAGGAGTTCTACTCGGTTATGACTAGATTTTGGGATCAATTAGCACTTGATGAGTCAATTGAATTGAGTACTCAAATGGTATATCGTACTTTTAGGGAGGAGCAGCGATTGGTATTGTTTTTGATGGCCCTTAAAGATGACTTTGAGGGCTTTCGTGATTCTATTCTCCATCGTCTCCCACTTCCCACAATCGATGCAGTAGTGAATGAGCTTCTGGCTTAAGAAGTCTGTCTTAAGACTCTTTCTGGAAAGGCCTTCTTCCATTGCCTAATCAGACTATACTAGTTGTACCACCGAGAGGAACTCCTCATTCACAGACTGAATATCGGAGTCAAGCTACTTTAGATGAGTGTAGTTTTTGTCGTGAAAAGGGTCACTGGAAGGCTCAATGTCCTAAATTGGTGAACAAGAATACCAAAGGGGCCTTACAGTAGCCACTTAGGCCCAAAGATCGTCATACAACCTCAGTTGCTTCACAAGTGGATGAGACACTTCCATCAGCTCCCAACATGACTATGATAGCTGATCAGTTGCAGATCAGTTTCTCTTTCCACATGTTTATTTACTACAGGACCTTCAGGTATCTCTCAAACTGCCTGGATTTTTGACTCAGGAGTCACCCATCATATGATTAGTAATTCTTCCTTATTTATTTCTATTATTTTTCCTCCCTCTATATCTGTCCTTATAGCCAATGGCACCCAAATGTCTTTGGTTGGTGTTGGAACTATCGTGTCTTCCCAACTTACACTTCCTGATGTCTACTATATTTCTCAACTTACTTTAAATTTACTATTTGTTAGTCAGTTGTTTGATTCGGGATTCTTAGTTCATTTTTCTTCTACTGGTTGTGTTGTGTAAAATTCACGGTCCAAGAAGCTGATTGGGATAGGCCATAGAAATGGAGGACTTTATGTGTTGGATGAACTTCATGTCCCTAAAGTTGTTGCATCTACTGTTAATTTATCTTCTTTTCAATTGAGTCCAAAATCATCTAGTTTTTATTTATGGCATTCTCGTTTATGTCATGTTTCTCATTTTCGTTTAAAATTTTTAGCTTCTACTGGTAGTTTGGGTAATTTAGAGTGTCATGATAATTCAAATTGTAGTGGCTACAAATTGGCTAAATTTACTGCATTACCTTTCAATAAAACTAATTCTCGTTCTTTTGCACCTTTTGATCTTATACATTCTGACATTTTGGGACCAACTCCTATTGCTACTAAAGGGGGGTCTAAATATTATGTTTTTTTTACTGATGATCATACCAGATATTGTTAGGTATATCTAATGACACGTAGGTCTGAGTTCTTTTCTATTTTCTCTACCTTTCGTGCTATGGTGCGTACTCAATATTCTTTTATCATCAAATATTTCCGCTATAATCAATGTGGAGAATATTCTTTAGTGCTTTTCGTGATTTGTTGAAATCTGATGGTACTGTTTTTCAGTCTTCTGGTACTGACACTCCTACTCATAATGGAAACATCGTCACATTATTGAGACAGCTCGTTCTCTGTTGTTGTCATCCAGTGTCCCTAGCTCTTTTTGGGGAGAATCAATTCTTACAGCAGTTCATCTGATTAATTGCATTCCTACAATCCTCAATTCTGGTATCTCACCTTTTGAAAATCTATGTGGTAAGACACCTGACTATTTGTACTTACATGTATTTGGATGTACATGTTTTGTTTTGCTACCTAGTGTTAATCGTATCAAGCTCTCGGCTCGTTCTGCCTTATGTGTTTTTCTTAGTTACGGTGAGGGACAAAAAGGATTTAGGTGTTATGATCCTAGTACACAGAAACTCTATGTTTCTCGCCATGATTTTATAGAGCATATTCCTTTTTTCTCTATTCCATATAGTTCTTCATCTCTGCATAAATCTAATCTTATATATCTTGATCCCTTTCCCTCTAGTGTTTCTCCTGATTCCTATGTTGGTGATATGACTGTAGTTGATCTTCCCTCCTCTTTTTCTTCTTTGCCTGATTTGTCTGTTACCCGTCCCCCGATTGTGCATACTTATGTTCACAGGACTCCCACTGTCTCCTCCACAAATGTTGTGCCTTCATCTGCACCTCTTGGCTCCCAATCAATTTCTGACACCATGGATCACACTCCCCGTAACCCTCAATGCACTCGAAGTGTCCTGACAAGTTTGGTTGATCCAACTCTTGTTATTCCTTTACTTTTTGTTCTTTCCTGACTTCAATACATTCTTTGTCTGAACCAAACTCCTATAAGGAGGCTATACTTAATCCTTTTTGACAATAGGCTATAGGTGAGGAGCTTTCTGTGTAACATAAAACTCGAGCTTAGGAGTTGGTGCCTTTACCTCCTGGTAAACACCCCATTGGTTGTAAGTGGATTTATAAAATCATAACCCAATCTGATGGTTCAGTAGAAAGGTACAAGACTAGATTAGTGGTCAAGGATTTTGCTCAAGAGTATGGGCTTGACTATGATGAGACCTTTGCTCCAATGACTAAGATGACCACGATTCGCACAGTAATTGTTGTGGCAGCTGTTCGTCAGTGGAGCCTATCCCAGATAGATGTGAAAAATACTTTTTTTCATGGTGATTTGTCTGAAGAGGTCTATATGACTCCTCCTCCTCCTCCTGGGTTGTCTTGTAGTCCTGGTCATATGTGAAAACTTCACAAGGCTTTACATGGTCTTAAACAAGCCCCGAGGGCATGATTTACAAAATTTTCTTCAGTTATATGTGACTTAGGCTTCTGTGCTAGTGATCATAATTCTGTTCTCTTTCTTCGATCCATTTTTTTTGGTTTCATACTTTTATTACTTTATGTAAATGACATGATTATTACAAGTGATGACAATGCTAGAATTCAGTTGTTAAAAACTCAGTTACAAGATTATTTTAGGATGAAGATTTAGATCCACTTTGATATTTCTTAGGGATTGAGTTGCTTTCTCTCCCAAGGGTTATCTTCTTTTTCAGTCAAAATATGCCTCAGATGTTATTCAGCGAGCTTGTTTATTGGATACTCGAACTGTTGACACACCCTTGGAACTTAATGTTCGTTATACTTCCTCTGATGGTTCTCTCTTACCTGATCCTACCTTATATCGTACTATTGTTAGGAGTTTAGTGTATCTTACTGTTAATTGTCCAGATATTGCTTATGCGGTTCACGTGGTTAGTTTATTGCTACTCCTACCACACTTCATTGGTCTATTGTTCTTCGGATTCTTCAATATCTACGGAGTACATTACATTAGAGTTTATTATTTTCTTCTTCTTCGTCTCTAGAGTTCTGTGTTTACTTTGATGCGGACTGGACTGGTGACTCTATGGATCACAAATTCACTACTGGTTTCTATTTCTTCTTTGGTGATTCTCTTATTTCTTGCAAAAGTAATAAACAAACTGTTGTAGCTCGCTCTTCTGCTGAAGCTGAATATCGTGCTATGGCATCTACCACAGTAGAGATAGTTTGGTTGCTTGCTGATCTTGACATTTCCTTGACTACTCCTACTCCTATGTATTGTGATAATACCAGTGCTATCCAGATTGCTCATAACTCAGTATTTCATAAGCGCACCAAACATATAGAGATTGATTGTGACTTTGTGTGCCATCATCTTCAACTGGGCATGATCTCTTCCTCATATCTTCCTTCTACTATGTAGTTGGCTGACTTCTTCACCAAATCCCACACTATCGTACGCTTTCGTTTTCTCCTTGGCAAACTCTTGATGTTGGATGCTATCACATCATGAGTTTGAGGGGGGATGTTAGATGAATCTAGTATATAGTAATCTAGTATATTAGCATTAGGGGTAGATTAGTCATTCATATTACTATATTTTGCCCTAGTATAAATTCATTTGTAATACAAATCTGGTTTAGACTTGATCAATATATTTTTCCTCTTTCATTTATAAACATCAACAATTGGGTATTCCACTACTTGGATGAACAGTGCATGGGCATTTATCAACGAAAATAACATTACTAAATATGAGCACCACTTTTGTGAGATTTCTGCATCTGCATCTTTATATGTTTCTTAAAGCATTCTAGAAGCAACTGTCAGCAATTTCACTATTGAACCCCTAGTTATATTTTTATTTCTTTTTGGTTGGTTAGGAAACCACTAGTTATTGCTATCGTATTTTTAATCTTTTTGAGGACCTTTAAATTTCCTCTATTTGACATGCACACAGAAACAACATTTTAACAAAAATATTTTCAAAATCTCAATCCAACTTTTTGGATGTCATTTTGTCAAACACCATTTACTTATATGAAAGACCATGCCTGTGCCCCCCTATTACATAGTTATCATGCACATAAAACCTAAGACAATCATTCATCCGTCATATAATGGGCAATATCTTTTACTTGACCATATCATGATCATGCCCATATAAATTTACAGCTGCTATAGGGCTGTGAAGAAGGGCCATAGACTAGTAAAGACACAATAGAGGAAAGCAATATGCGTCAGCATCGGGTGACTAATCAAAGTAGTTTACCCTTTTAAGGGTAGTGGCATGAAGAAGAACAAAATTTCAATAGTGAAGATAGGTACCTGGAGAATCAGAGTATCCCAATTTACAGAACCCATTTGCTCCTGTAAATTTTCTTTAAGTGGGGTTAGTCTTTCAACCAACATATTGCAACAAAGTCTAACAGCTTCACAACTTGATTCAGATGTAGTGCTCCCAGCAGTAAATCCCCCTTGTACTAAGCCCAAGGTATCTGCTTGCACAACCCGTACTTTCTCCAAGAGATCTTCAGTTCCATCACACTGAATTGAACTGAGAGCAAATGCAGTCACCTGTTTTACTTTCGTCCACAGCCCCTGACCCAGCTCAATACCGCCAACTTCTACCACGACAGACCCATCCCAAAGAATACTTACTTTTCCAGGGGTTGGTCTTAATGTCACTTCATTTATAACGGGAACCCGTGATATACCTTTTTTCCGCCATCTATTAGAGTTATTAAACTTTTTTATCATTTCAATTCTTTGGGCAAACCTTGAAGATTTGGCTAACTTATCCCATATAGAAGGCAAGGTATAATCCAGAGGATCACCAGCATTACTCTCATAAAATTCATTGAGGCTGTCAAATTTGTGAAGATTTTGGTTTCTGACAGAATCCACTTCCATTGACAGCATAGATGCTACATCTTCTATTACAGCTTCAGCAATAAAGGATCCCTGCATCTCCCCAGGGCCACGCATTGCAGATTTACTGGAATGGTTTGTCTTGCACACCTTTATATCAAAAGACAAAGCACCCCAATCATACTTCTTAAGTGCACCCACTATGTTTAGTGGCATAATGGGGCTTATATCTACAAACATCCCCGAATTGATTAATATATCAAGGTGTAGAGCTGTTATTTTCCCATTGGATTTGAACCCAACACTATAGGTTATCTTCATGGGATGTCTTCCTCCAGTCATAATCATATCAGTCTTGCGGTTGACATAAATCCGGACTGGGCGGCATAATTTGTGTGCTGCAAGTGCACATGCTGTAGCCACCTGAAACATCATATTTTTAGTATTTACATCAAAATTCCTTAAGTGAAGAAAGGATAGAACCAGACCATTATTTTACTGGCATCAGATGAAACACAAATTCTTGAAAGAATCCAAACAATATGTACGTGTGGGTGGGTGAGGGTGTAGCTATGCAGTTTTCCCCTGTTCTTTTTGGTGAAGATTTTCTGTTTTACAAGCGAACCTCAAACAGTGCAAGGGAGTTTTATTGAATAAAGACAAAATTACATCCTAAAGATGGGGGAAAGGGAGGGGGGGGGGTAATGAGCCTTACCCCAAAGAACTAATACAATACAAAATAAAATAAGTGAAATCCAACAAGAAACAATGCAATGCATGCATGAATTACTTTTGGCAATGGTTGGGGGACGGAGGGAATAGAAATTTGAATTTCTTTGCTTTGAGGGGTGTAATCAGGAACTGGAATACGAAGCACATAGTAAATTATTTTATCAAGTGCAAAATTTCCTCATTCAGCAGGATGTTAACAACATAAGGTTCATTGAACATCAAGGTAGAAGGATAAACAATGTTGGTGCTCCACAAGTAGGCGTTCTAATAGTACCCACACAGATGACAACCACTGAAAAACAATAACCATCATCCTACAAAACAATCTCTTCATAAACATGCTCCATCAAGTTGACCATGAAATATTGTCCACCCCTTTATTTGACGACTCATTTGCAGCAGAGAAAGATGAAGAGCAGCCTGTCAATTAGTGGCTCAGGTATCAATGGTGCAGGGAAGATATTCTTGATTACATAATAAAGAGCAAGTACTTGATGTTAATAGAAGTATTCATGTACTTATGCATTGATTTCAGGTATTTTAGTCGATGAAATTGAGAAATTTTTTTGTGGAAATATATAAGAAAAAAGCTCAATGAGTCTATGGTCTATGACTCATGTCAAGAGACTTGAAGTGACGTTTCATTCTCAGGTGACAACAAAATTTTGATTTTGAAGTAACAAGCTCAAAACCAAGTCTTTGGCAAACTGTTGGCAAGGACAAAACAGAATTAAATTACAGTGCGGGAATGTTGTCCCTCATAGCTCTCAGTTGATAGAGGTCAAGGGTTCAAAATATAAGGGGGAATAAAATCGGGATCCTACTTTAGATTGATGGAAGTTGGTGTAGGATTGGGATCGTAGGATCGGATCGAAAATCGTAAGATCCTACCCATTAAAGAAAATAGAACTAAAAATACAGTCAACAACAAAGATTTAACGAACCAAACCTTGTATCTATACTTAATGTAAATATATGATGCTAGACATATATATAATATGCGTACCACAAGCCAACTCAAATAAAATTGAGAATGTAGCTCAAAAGGTAGACGTTTCACATTAATATTGTAACATTCAAGTTATAAAACAGAGAGGAGCCAAATACATAAGGGTTGTAATAGCAAAATCTAAAAATTACAATTTAAGTTAGGGCTGTAACAGGGTAATAACTAATAACAAAACACAGAGGCGGCAAAACTGATCCCAGACAATAGAATTTCAGAAACCTATACAAGAGGTAAACATTAAGGAGAAATAACACAGAAAACACAGAAATAGCACATTCTGCTTCAAAATCAACAAAAAAAATTAGCCTAAGTGGCAATGCAAGAGTAGAATCATGGAATCGTAGGATCGTATTTGGGATCAGGATCCTACAATTTTGAAGGATCCGGATCGCGATCTACATCGATTCTACTGCCCAGCGATTTTGTATACGATCCAAATCGATTTGTAAAAGTGCAGGAATGTTTTCCCTCATAGCCCTCAGCTGATAGAGGTCAAGGATTTAAAATATAGGGGGTAAGAAGGGTGTCTAAGACTGTTTTGTCATGTGGAAGAGAAAATAAATGTGCATATGTGCAATTACATCTAAATAAAGCTCACATGAAAACTTTGAGTTTGACATGAAATAGATAAGCCAAAGTTATTAGTCTCCGAGAAGATGAGGAAAATTAAAGACAACATGGACTTCATGACAGGAATTTCGGAGCCCCATACTCTTATGACTTTAGCTTTTCATTGATAAGAAGAAGCTTCAATTTTTATTTTCCCTATTCCCATTTACAGTAGAAGAAATTAGGGAAAGCATGAACCAATATTTTATTCCAGTTTTGATTTGAAGTAGCATCAGAATTCAGACAAACAATCTGGGTATCCAGAAGTGACGATCTGGGTATCCAGAAGTGACAGAAATGTCCTATTTACTTTTCTAACTAGATAAAGGAAAAAAATCTAATGAAAGTATATTATTAAATTATATGAATTTAATTATGTTTCAGAAATGTGAAGAGTTCAATTTGCACCTTGTGCAGTTCTTAAAGCATTAATCTATTTGGTTCTGAAAAAAGTAAAATTCTAGGAATTGTACAAGTAGATACATACCGGCATTGCTCTTATGGCCTTGCCACCAAATCCTCCGCCAACCCTTCTAGTGATCACACGGACATTGTGTGCAGGAACACCAAGACATCTTGCAATTACAGTGTGTGCAAACTCGGGGCACTGAATTGAACTGTAAACCACCATGCAGTTGTCTTCATCCGGGACTGCAAAGGCAGTTTGTGTCTCCATATAGAAGTAGTATTGTGAACCAAGTTTAATCTGGATACCACAATTAGCAATGGAATTTGATAATAAGCATACATACTAAAAATTGACGGTTGACTGTAGAAAGTTCTTGATCAGTATAACCATGTCAACATGGAAAATGATCAAGTTGACAATCTAGTGCTTGAAAAGAGGAAATTTTTAAAAACTTAAGGAAAAGAATAAATGATCAGAAATACCTCAGAGGAGAGAATCTTGTGGTCAGCTTCAGCCATTCCTTCCGAGAAGTCACCAACATGAGATGGATACAGAAAAGGAGGAACCTCATAGAAGCTTGATCTCTCAACAGCCTCTTCAACAGTTAAGATGGGTGGTTCTAAGTCTTTAGAGTCGTAATCAACCACTGCCATGTCTGCTGCCATATCTGCATGCTTCTGCGTATCTGCAACCTGAAATAGGTATTCCATTTAGCATTTTAGACATGCAAACAAAGTTTATAAAAAGGAAAAACTCACACATCTATCAATAGTATAATCGCAGTCAAGAAGAGGATATCAACTCGGACGCTCATAAACAAGATGTGCTGGAACATGGAATTACCACAAAAGCAAGAGGCTGGCCAGCACACCTGGTAAGATCATCAGCAAATAATGGTTCGAAACCAAACATGGTTCTTGATCCTACATTCTCCCCTCCTTTGGGGATGTCTCTAAACGAAATAACAGCAGCGACTCCATTTGGTAGTGACTTAGACTTGAACTTGACATCCTTGACCCATGCCAAAGGTTTTGTGCTATAGATGAATGCCCCATGAAGACAGTTTGTTGGTGAAGGAATGTCATCCACATAGACAGCTTCACCTACATAATTGGTCAGCAAAACTCAGAATATGACGAGAAATTTATGGTTACATCCACTTGGAATGAATGTGTGTGAAAAAGGGATACTCAAATTAAGAGTAGAGCCCCGTATATATATCCAAAAATAATACAGAGTGACTTAAACATCCTTGTAGTTTAGGCAAAATATAAAAATCTTAGTAAGGGTAAAAAAGGGAAAAGAAATCTTAATAAACCTAGATTATCTATACTCCAACACTCCCCCTCAAGCTAGGCGCAAAAATGTCAACTAAGCCAAGCTTGACAACGAAGTCCCGAAGAATAGACAGAGTGACAGGTTTGGTAAAAACATCCGCAACTTGATCACTGGTCCCCACAAACGATGGAGTAACAAGACCACTGCTGACCTTCTCCCGAAGAAAGTGAACATCGATCTCTATATGCTTCGTTCTCTCATGTAGTACAGAGTCAGAAACGAGCTGAATAGCAGATTGATTATCACAATATAATGTGGATGGAGAGGTCACTGAAAAACCCAACTCGTCAAGAATCGATCGTAGCCAGATAATCTCACATGTGCCAAGTGCCAATGCCCGATACTCTGCCTCTGCGGACGAGCGGGAGACAACTGCCTGCTTCTTGCTCTTCCAAGAGATAAGATGAGTCCCTCGAAAAGCACAGAAACCCGTAGTAGATCGACCATCACATGCTCCCCCATAATCTGAATCTGAATAACAGGCTAGAGAACCGGTCTGAGATCCTGATGCATAAAACAACCCAAGTCCAGGACAAGACTTGAGGTACCGAAGAATATGATAAACTGCATCAAGATGAGGCTGACATGGCCTATGCATGAACTGACTAACTCGGCTGACTGCGAATGAAATGTCCGGCCTAGTATTGGCTAAGTAGATAAGTCTACCTACCAATCTTTGATAAACTGTCGGATCTTTCAACTCCTCACCTTCAGCAGTAAGCTTCAGGTTTGGAATCATAGGTGATAATGCCGGTTTGCACCCCAACATCCCAGTGTCTGAAAGAAGATCCAAAACATACTTTCTCTGAGAAAGAACAATACCTCTGCTTCTACGGGCAACCTCAATCCCAAGAAAGTATCGCAGAAATCCAAGATCCTTCACATCGAAGGCCTTCCCAAGGTCTATCTTGACCTGCGCAGTCCCAGAAACATCATCACCAGTAATAATAATATCATCAACATATACCAGAAGGATGACACACTGTCCAGAAGTATTTCGTCGAATAAAGCAGGTATGATCAGAATGACACCTGGTGAACCCCAATCGTATGACTACATCACTGAAGCGAGAGAACCAGGCTCGTGGCGACTGTTTCAGTCCATAAAGAGACTTACGCAGTCGACATACCTTTCCAGCATACTCCCCCTCACCACGAAAGCCCGATGGTGCATCCATATAAATAATCTCGTCCAGATCACCGTGAAGAAACGCATTCTTCACATCTAATTGATGAAGAGGCCAAGAGTACTCCGCAGCCAGAGAAATAATTAACCGAACAATAGTCAATTTTGCCACCGGGGCAAATGTAGCACCAAAATCACGACCTGGTACCTGAGTAAAGCCCTTCGCCACAAGTCTAGCCTTGTAACAATCAATAGTACCATCTGCAAGAAACTTCAGGGTGTAAACCCAGCGACAGCCAACAGGCTTCACCCCTGAAGGTAAGGAGACAAGATCCCATGTATGATTACGCTGAAGAGCGTCCATCTCTGTCTGCATGGCAAGAACCCACTGGGGCTCCCGCATAGCTTCCGAAATAGAGCGAGGAACCAGCGTATCTGATAAGGCCATAGTATAAGCTCGAAATGTGGGAGACAGATTACCATAAGAAACATAAGCAGAGATCGGATATAAAATCTTGGCGGTCCAACCATATCGATCAACTGGACGGCGATCACGCCTTGGATAACGACGCCCTAAATCACCATCCTCTACTGATAATATCTTATCAGGTAAAGTAACTGGCTCAGCACCTGTAATCTCATCAGTACTAACAACAGGTGCATCAATATGCTCAACAAACTGAGAAGTATTACCTGCATCGCCTGAGGTAGAGGGGATATCAGCAGGGTGATGAGAGCGAGGACAACGAGCATACACCTGCAAAGGAAGAGAGACTGGTAACTCTGTACTGACAGGGATGAGTGACTCCTTTGGAGGAAAAACGGATGACCCTGTAGGGATAGTGATCAATGACTCTGACTCTTGTGGTAATGGAAAATCAAAGGGAGTATCATCAACTGGAGGGGCAGACAAAGGACTGAAAGGAAAATAAGGAATATGCTCAAGAAAGGTAACATCTAGACTGTGATACATACGACGCCTAATAGGATCATAACATCGATACCCCTTAGATTGATGACAATAGCCCACAAAGATACAACGAATCGCTTTATCATCAAGTTTATGACGAGTAGGAGACCGATCCTGAACAAAACATGTGCATCCAAAAACACGAGGGGGGACCGGAAAAAGTGTCCGCTCAGGAAATAAGACCTGTAAGGGAGCCTTATGCTGAAGAACACGACTCGGCGTACGATTGCACAGAAAGGTAGAAGTCAAAACAGCAAAATGCCAATAAGATTTTGGTACCCTCATGCCTCTAAGCAGACAACGTACCATCCCTATCAAACTCCTATTTTTTCTCTCAGCAACACCATTTTGCTCAGGAGTATATGGACAAGTGAGTTGCTGAAGGATACCCTGAGAAGAAAGGTGAGACACTAAAGCATCAGACACATATTCTTTGGCATTATCCGAACGAAGAGCACGAACAATGACATCGAATTGTGTCTTAATCATCTGTAAAAACTGAGTGATTATAGGGAGCACATCAGACTTCCTATGCAAAAGGTAGACCCAAGTACAACGGGTATGATCATCTATAAATGTCACATAATATCTGGCACCTGACAGAGCAGTAACGGGAGAGGGTCCCCAAATATCAGAGTGTATTAGGTCAAATGGCTTGGGTGACTGGTGCATGCGAGGAATATAATTGGCCCTAACATGTTTTGATAGGGAACAGATAACGCAATCAAGTTTACCACCAACACAAGCATTACTCAAAGCAGGAAACAACATACATAAATATTTAAAATTTGTATGTCCAAAACGGTCATGCCACAATTGAACAGTTTGTGACGAAAAATCATAACGACAACTACTAGGTAAAATACTAGCATGCAAGCTAGGAACAGAAAAAGACAAAGCAGGTGCAGGTGAAGGAATTGGTGAAACTGGAGATGGATTGCCAAGATAATACAGTCCATCTTTCTCATGTCCCTTGATAATAATCCTCCTGGTACTCAGGTCCTGCAAATAACACGAATCAGATAAGAATACAACCGCACAGTGAAAATCTCTGGCTAACTGATGTACAGATAATAGATTCATGGCCAACTTTGGCGCATGAAAAACCGAATGTAATGTAAGGCCATCTGGGAGACGGACTGTACCCCTACTAACAATAGGGGCATGTGTTCCATCTGCTAACTGAACCTGTGTATGTAACGGCTCGTCAAAAGTGGTGAAGTGATGGGCCTCACCTGTCATGTGACCATTCGCACCCGAGTCCAACATCCAAAGGGGAGATGAACTGGCACAAGCGTGAAAGGCACGAGATATACCTGTAGTGGTGACAGCAGCAGTAGTCAGACTCTGAGAAGTCAGAGCAGACATAAGTATATCTAATCGGGAAGTGATAGCATCCATATCACTTTGCCAAGGAGGAGCAGTAGCAGGAGTGGCGGTAGTGGGCGGTGGTACCTCAGCAATAGCAACAGTACGGCTGCGAGAAGGTGGCTTAAGCTCTGGATGGAGCTTCCAGCAAGTAGCCCTGAGATGTCCTGGTCGGCCACAATAATCACATTGACGGGAATCCCCCTGTCTGCGCTGATCTGGGGCGCCCTGACGGCGCTGGTCTGAGCGTTGCCCATCCCTGACTAAGGATCCTGAACGGGACCCTACAGCAGCTGCAAGGGCCATCTGGTCAATCGAAGGAGTCAAAGCTGCAACTGGAAGTGATGCAATACGGACTCGACGCTCATGCTGCTCAATCATCCCATACACCTCATAAAGAGAAGGAAGTGTCAACATCGACAAGATCTGAGAACGAGGTCCCTCAAACTCATCACGAAGCCCCATAAGGAACTTGTGAATCCTATCCTCCTGCTCTCGAGTATGCAAGAATGCTGCTCCCTCGGGCTCTATCTTCGGAATAGCAGCAAGAGGACGTAGAGACTCATACTCAAGCCAGCGCTGGGTCAAATAGCCATAATAATCCTGAACGGTCATATCTCCCTGCCGAGCATATGAGAGCTCCTGAGAAAGCTCATAAACACGAACTCCCCGTCCTGACTGAGAATACATCTCTGATAATGCGCTCCATAGCTTTGGAACAGAGCTATGAAACTGGTGGATCCTGCAAACAGAGGGCTCCATTGAGCCAAATAACCATCCAATAACCATCCAAGAATGACACAGTTTTCAGAGAACCACGCAGAATATCCAGGGTCGGCATCAGCTGACTTTGGGTGAGATCCCGTCAGCCAACCAAGCTTCCCTACACGGCCTAAGAAAAGCTGGAATGAGCGTGACCACTCAGCGAAGTTACGACCATTCAACAATTGTGCCGTAACTTTTTGAGAGATCATGCCCGGTAATGCTGGTAATGCAATTGTGCTAGTAGGCACTGTATACTGGTCAAACATAAAAGTGGAAGTACCCATAGATGTCTCAACGGTAGAGGTGTCAACAGTAGGGTTCTCAAGTCCCTCAATAGTAGCCATATCAACAACAATACTAGGGCACCCGTGACAGAAAAATAACTCTAAGATAAATAGAGGAATAAAATAAGGGAGAACAATATACCTTCAGTCGAACAGTAGCGACAAATAAGGAAGGTCCAAAAAGCTCCCAAATAATCAAGTCACGGTGCCCAGAAATCCAATAAATATAAATGATCTACTGCATCAAGAGCAGATCAACAGACGGAGAAGAAGATTTAACCCCTCATAAAAAAAAAGATCCTAGATACTGCAACCTGGTAGCACTATGACGAAGAGTGCAAAGGATGAAGTTAAAACGAGAAACACGACCCGGCAGAGGGCTGAGCAGTGACCCGGCAGTGGGTTGGGTTACTGGGCTGGTCTAGTTTGGGACTATATTGGGTGGTCTGTCGGTTGTGAGTTGCAGGCTGTGGATTTATCGGGGCAGTGGGCTAGCTGGCTGATTGTCAGTGCTGTGCAGACTTGCTGTTTGTCAGTTGTGAGTTGCTGGTTGTCGGTTGCAAGTTGGATGTGAATTGGTGACTTGCTGGAAGGATTATGGTTACGCTGGGTGCTGTCAGTTTCGACTAGGTTTGGGTGTTGGGGCAGTGGGCAATTCGCTGGGTGGTTGATGGTGTATGGGTGTTAGAGGCAGTCGGTGGTTTAATATGTAGGCAGTCGGTGTGGTTATTGAAGGCAGTCGGTTGGAGGCAGTCGGTGATTGGGCTATATTGGTTGGGCTATATGTGTTGGAGGCAGTCGGTGGTTTTTCGCTGGTAGGTGGGTCGCTGCAGTGGCTAATTTGGAGCAGTCACGGTGGCAGTGTGGTGGCCGGTGGCTGTCAGCTGCAACGTGGAGGAGGGGCTAGGGTTAGGGTTACAAGTGTGGCTCTGATACCAACTTGGAATGAATGTGTGTGAAAAAGGGATACTCAAATTAAGAGTAGAGCCCCGTATATATATCCAAAAATAATACAGAGTGACTTAAACATCCTTGTAGTTTAGGCAAAATATAAAAATCTTAGTAAGGGTAAAAAAGGGAAAAGAAATCCTAATAAACCTAGACTATCTATACTCCAACACATCCTACAGAACTTAATCAAACTTATAAGAGAGAGAGAGAGAGAGAGACAAAAAGAACACAATAAAAGAAATTAGAGACAATGGTATATAAAAAACAGTGAGAATGAATTAAGGATCACCTGAAGTCTTACATGTTAAAAGATAGTGAAGAGCAGGCAATAACGAAGACGACAGATTCACACCAAGGACGGAAGATTATATTATGATTTTATGATTATAACATGATATTTGTGAAAGGTGTCAGTCATCCTAGTTGGTATACCAGACCAGAGACCTAAGATTAAATCCTTGCTTACCCTGGCGTATAGCCCATCACCTTTATGTGCAGGAGGCCAGGGAAGAAATATATGTTCAATACTTTTAGGCCTTAAACATCTCTATTTTCTAGATCTAATTTAAGCTCTCTAATACATGGAAATGGTGGGACCAGAAACCAGAAGTTTGGGAGTAAAACTAGGCAGACGTTGGGGAGTAAAACTTCAAAGCGATAAAGAGAGCCGTATCCTAAAAAGAATAACAAACCAGAAGCTTGAATGGCTGCACCAGATTTTGAAATTGGTTCACCGACTGGGTGGTACTCTCTACTTGATATCACTACCTGCTTTGCAGATGACAACAATGCTGGGCTTTCAGTAAGATCAAAATGGTCACCATTGTTGTTTACCTTGGGCATCTCTTCTAGCAAAGAACCATTACATCTATCCAATAAACCATTGGACATTACAGCACCCTCATTAATGAAGGGGCCAAAAAACTCAAAAACATAACTGACCGCCAAGCTTGACCTGTAATCAGAATGTGAAATGCCATCTTCAGGAACCACAGTGGCTCTAACTAACTTAAGAGCTTCATATAAAACAACTATACTCAGTGTTTTCCCATCTAAATATTCCTCAACTTTCCCTGCCCTTATAGCATGCTTAGTCCCATAAGCACCGAATGCCAACTGAACCTTATTTACCACAACTCCAGTCTTACAGGGAGAAACATCAGCCAAGAAAGCAGCATTTAAATAAGGTAATGCATTTCCAAGTGGTCGTGGTGCTGCACGATATGTTTCAAACAGCAACTTAGAGTCAGTTTCAGTTGATTGTCCATTTTCCACATGCTTCCAGTGGGGAATTTGAACACTTAAAAGAACACTTCTGGAGTCTAACGGTGGCCTCTCCAAGAATTCCTCCAATGTAAGCTTTTCATATTTCAGACCTGTCAATATACTAACTGTTGTGCCCACAGCAAGAAGTATTGTGGCAATATCGGAAGGAAAATAATTCCTTTGTGCCATCACCAAATTTCCTCCTACAGTAGCAGAGTTTCGGATGGACTCTGAAGCAATCTTCTCCATGTGGTCAGCAATTTTCAGGAATACCAAATTGTCTTCTGAGCATGACTTATCTTTGTTTTCTTCTCTCAAAGATATTATAGCTTTTGAGATTGTCACCGCAGCTCCAATTTCAATTCCTGTTCTTTCCCTTTTAACCATTGAGAGCTGAGGAATGTACCGCAGATCAATGTATTTGTCATACTGTCGAAGTTCTGGGTAATAACCCATCCCAGTGTTACCAACAACCAACCTTGTCCTTTTACCTTTTTCAGCCAAATTGATTTCCAACAGGCCTTGAAGCTCCTCAACAGTAGAAGGACAGCACCAGGAATATCTTCTAGAATCCAACGGCATTGCAGACTTAAATTCATCTTTCAAGTATTCAGGATATATACAATTCTGATTATTTGGACTGTAAAAAGGTAATCTACTTTCTTTTACTTCCCCAATCTCACCCTTTTTCCAAAAAGAATTGATCCCCAAGTCCTCCATATCAACATCAGCAGCAAAACTTTTGCAGGCATCCGCAATTGGACGATATCCAGTACATCGACATAGATTTCCTGATATAGCCTTTTCAGCTTCAGAAACAGTAAGCTTGGAGAATCCTGGGGGAGGCTCCGGCCGATCTTTTTTTTCAGCATTGACAAGTGCGGAGAAGAGCGACATACACATTCCGGGAGTACAAAAGCCACATTGAGAGGCATGGAAACCAGCAAACCTTTTATGAATTGGGTGGAACCCATCTTTGCTATTTCCAATGCCTTCAGATGTAGTAATTGAACACCCATTTACGCTGCAAAGCAGTACTAGACATGAATTCACTGGGAAATTTTCAACTTGCTCACGGTCAGGGTCATATTTAGATAGGAGAACAACACAAGCACCACAACCACCTGTGACCATAAATATTCAGAAACAACAAAAGTGCAAATAAATTAAAAATTGCAACTTGACAAGAAATAAAGATGAATTAGTCTCAAATCAGTCAAGCACTCCAGATATGGCCAGATCAATTAAATCAAAAATGCTTAAGTCAAAGAATCATCAACAATTAGAGCTGCTTTAATCTTCAATGGTCATTTGGAACAGAGGAGAATGTCAGACATTGAACCTAATGAACCGAATATTTCACAAAGCACAGTCCAGGGAAAACTTATACTTCCTTAGTTCCTAGAGAATGAAAACCAGGATCAAATAAATTAATTTCTTCCATTCCTAAATTTCTTATTTATGAAGCAAATACAAATAAAATAAAACAACTAAGCACAAAATTAGAATAAGTGAAAAGAATTTAAATATTTTCCCATTATCCTAACAAAGAAAATTAATCAAAGTCCAACTAACACACTTGGAGAAGCTTCTAACTAACCACATAAAACCCCAAAGAAATAAACCCAAGCATCTCAAAATGTCACTACCAACCATTCCAAGCAGTAAAAGCAGAGGAATTACTCATAAGCAACACTCAAAATCAAACAATACAGAGAACAAACATAATATAGTCATCTTTCCCATGAATAAAACCCATCTATTCACATGAAGAAAGCTCATCAACCCAGAATCGAACAATTCTAAATTGATTAAGACACAGGCACGTGTATGTGAGTGGGTTGGTGGATAATTGTAGAGATAGAGAAAAGAAAACCCATCAACACATTCTAAGAAAAGAATCCATGTCAGAATCCTACAAATCACAACTAATATAGAATGAAAACGGGTATTTATTTTTACATATATTGAGATAGAGAGAGTGAGTGGAGAGACCTTGGCCACAACCCAGCTTGACACTCTTGAAACGAGTATGAGAGCGCAAGAATTCGAGCAAAGTGGTGGAGGGGTCAACACTTGGGAGTTCAAACCTTTCTCCATTAACTGCCAATACCAGACTGTTGGGACATGTTGCTGCTTTTATGGTTTCGCTCTCCTCCATTTCTGATTCTGAAAAGCGGGCAGCGGTAGAACTGACCTTCAAGCACCTTATCGAAGACCAACAAGTATAAAATTAAAAAGGCAGACAATGGGATGAAGTCTGACGTTGTTGGTGAGGAACATGCAAAAAACCATCTGGCCACCATCATAACTTGGATAAATTACACTGACAACCCTTGATATTTCTGACATTTTTAATAGACCTCTCTTGTTTCTAAAATTACACTGAATCTCTTAAGATATGATAACTTATAACAGGTTTCCCCTTCTATTAAATTTAATTAAATTAATTACTTCAACTATTCATTTTATCCTAAAGTGGAAAAATCAATATTTGGACCCTTGTATTTTCAGTCTTATAGAAAAAAATGGATAGGTAGGTTTGTCCATATGAATGATAAAAAAAGGCAATCGAAAGTTTACTCGTGTAGACAAAATTGAATCATATGATACATCAATCTCAATCTCAATCACTATTAAAACTTTTTTTTCATTCACACTACAAAAAATTATTGCAAAGAATTTTTAATTAATTTGGTGGAAAAAAATTTTAGAAAATTTTAGGGAATTTTTTTTGACATATTTTAGAGTGTGAATAAAGAATTCTATTTTAGTATTGCCATAATTTTTTCTCCTAATTATTAGATCAAATGATCCAATTTTGTCTACAAGAATAAAAATTTGACGAACTATTTTTTTATCATCTATATTGAAAAATATGATTGTTCAATTTTGATTATTAGAGTAAAATTACAAGGGTTGGTTTTTACTTGAGGGTAAAATAGGTAGTCCAAGCCATTAATTTAAGTAAATTAGACAGAATGGTGAATGATTAACCGTGAATTTTATCCAAATTGTCTCATTTCAAGAGGGTGAATGTAATTTCAAAAATAGGAAGGGATATAGTAAAAATTTCAAAAATAATAAAGAGAGTCAGTGTAAATGAGAGCGTTTAAAGATTACCCTGATAGACCCTCACTAGAGGGATCATGAGGCTCCTAATCGCATCTGTTATTTCTTTCGAAAATAAACCTAACTAAATTAGTATAATGACCAATCACCGAATCCCAATATAAACTCTTTTTAAATTTTATTTGAGTCGTTTAACATTAATCTTATTTTTCTAACCTTGGGTCAAGGAAATCTTATTCAGGGATTTGGACCCTATACATTTAATCATATTTGATTAGGTTGATGAATCCGACTGACACGAATGAATCTTGAATAAATAATACAACCACTAAGATCGATTTGAAAACTTGGATGTCTCATGTTGTCTTATAAAAGTCTCAAAAAGTTGGACTTGAGAATTTCGATGACTTTTATAAAATGTTTGAACATTTGGAGTTAAGCGTCAGTCTCGATCGGTGATGAGCGTCATTTATTATGTGGAAGTCTACGAGCGGGTTATCTATGGATTCTGTTACTCAGCTTAAAAAAGTAAGTTTAAAATTTAATAGGTTTAATAGTTGGCTCAATCGAGTTCAAATCCAATAACCTTAAAAGGAGGGCTTGGATTTTCCTTTAAATCCATTACTCGATCCGAAGCCCTACCAATAATCCCTCTAAAAAAATTCATTAAAGGAAAATTTGGAGGCCGATTCCCCTATATGGACTTGTTTGGACTTAAGTCCGTTAAGGAAACTTATTTATTATGAAGTCCATTTTTTGTCAATTTTACCATATTATCCATTCCTTTTAGAAATGAAATAAAACTAAAAATTAAAAGTTCTTAAATTTTAGGAATTTGATTAACATTAAAATATTTTATCTCTCATATCTATCTATATTCATATATAGGTTAAGAGTTTAACTAATATTAAAATTTTCTCTCTCTCTTATCTATCTATATATAGGTTATATATATGTATAGTAACATTCAAAATAAAAAATAATAACATTCAAATACAAAAAAAAATTATCATTTGGATACAAAAAATAATACATTTAAACCCAAAAAAATAGTAACATTTAAACATAAAAAAAAAATTGAAACATTCAATATTAATATTTTTAAAAAATAACAACACTAACATGTTCAACAAAAATAGTAACATGCTTAACAAAAATTGTAACATACTTAAGAATAATTATTTTTCTCAAATTCAAACGCAAAAAATAGTACCATTCAAATACAAAAAATAGTAATATTCAAAAAAAAAATAGTAACATTAAATATTAATATTTAAGAAAATAATAGTAGTGACATGGTTAAAAAAAATAGTAACATGCTCAAAAATAATAGTACATAAACAGTAGTATACTTAATAAAAACAGGAATATGAACAGTAAAATAATAAAAAAAAATAGTTACATTCATAGTAACTTTTTTTTTTGTATTTGAATGTTATTATTTTTTTTTATGTTACTGGTATATATATATATATATATATATATATATATATATATATATATATTAATGTTAGTCAAACTCTTAACATATATATGAATATAGATAAATAAGAGATTGAAAAAATTAACTTCTATAGATAAATATGAGACAGAAAAGATTAACTTTTATTCAAGGAAGGGTATTTTTGAGATAAAAAAAAGTGGACTTAAGTCATTACATATAATTTTAAATATGGACTTAGCCCTTATAAGTTTCCTTGCAAGACTTATCTCCAAACAAGTACATTTAGGGGGACTCTCTTTCAATTTTCACTTCATTAAAATCCGACTCAGGAGTCCACCTTGCCCACACTTCTTTTGAAAAAAAAATTATACTTTTAAAACAATAAATTTGAAACTTTGAAATAAGTTTTCTAATGTCAGAATTTGAAGTTTTAAAAATTTAAATTTTATAAATAATGTATTATTTTCTTTTCCATGTATTAAGCATAAAAGTTTTAAATGATGGAGTAATGTAAATGATAGATAAGTGAGTAGGTGACAATCTAGTTTGAATGTATTCATTCTATTAGATGAAGTTCATCCCTTAATCAAAGATAAAATTATTCGTTATTTTATTTTTATTCATTTTGATTCTAATTTTGATTCAAAAATATAATTTACACAAATATTAAATTACAAAAATATTCATTATTTTTAAATAAAGTTATATATAAAAAAACTCGCGAGCAGGCCCGCCCAACAAACCCGTCCAGAAGGCTCGCCCACATGCCCATCCAATAGGCTCACGAGTTAAAATATGGGTAGCTTACTCCTACCCGAAGTCTAACTCGCCCGATAACTCACTTAAATAAAGGCTTAGACCTACACTACACAAATCTGACTCAAAAAAAATTTCACGCCGGTTAGACCCATAGACACCCCTAAAGTCCTTTTGTAAAAGGTAATTTATATCTTTCTTTTCTTTTCTAATCTCTTTTTATTTTAAGTAAAACTGTGTTTAAATGCATTTTGGCAGTTATTTCTCAAAATCGCACACTTCTTAAAAGTCAATGTTTCAAAAATATGATTTTGCTAAAAAGAATTGTTGATTCCGAGCACTACTTTCTTACCGTGTCAAAATCATGTTGTAACATCACATTTCTAGGAAAATCGTAGTTGTGAAGCTTAACATATGGTCTAGAAATAGGTTGATAACTCGACCGAGCTATTTGGGTACGGCTTGAACTTGGTTCAGAGAGAACTCGCTCAAGTTTACTTTGTAATCTAAACGAATCGAACTTGAACAATATTTTACACTCATTTTTAGGCTCGGTCCAAGCTCAGAAAATTCGACTCGTATATTTGTAAAATAGTCAGACTACTCGGTTCGAATCGATTTCAGCTCAAGTTTAGACTCGGGTTCGAGCTTGACTCATTTTTTAAACAAGTAGAATTTGAATAATTATTTATGCCTGTTTAGAAAAACGAACTCAATAAACTTAATTTGAACTCGTAAAACTCGATTTGATTTATTGGCCATCATTTTCACTTTAGTACCAAAAAGTCAAGGTGGAGTATGAAATTTTACATGGAGCTACATTAGGAAAAATGCACTAAAACATCAAAGTCACAAAGAGGTCCCTAAAAGTCAGTGTTTTTTAGTGGTATTGTCATGCTTTGAAGAGATCTCACGTCAACATTTTTTAGTGTTCAAAAAGGATACGATACTGATGGAGGAATCATACACAATGGAGTGTTGGCCCGAGGCATCCTAAACCACTAAGGCCATTTCCTAGAACCCTAAATGGGAAGAAAATTTTAGAGCACCAAATATAATTTTAAATAATATTATTGAACTTATTTTGGATCTAATTTAAGAATTTAACATATTTTAACTATTAAATGAGCAGTGGGTGTTAGTATAAAATAAAATTAATTATCAATCGAATGATCACGGTGTATTAGTTTTCAAATTATATTCCTAAAAAATGTACAAGTTAAAAAATTTTAAATTTTTTTTTTGAAAAAGAATTTATATTTCTTTGGATTAAAAGTTATCCCGAAAGATTTAAAAAAAATTATTTTGCACCCTCAATTTATTAAAAGTATTGTTATAATGTGACCCTTTTGTTATCTTCTATATTTTTTTTTTGGTCAAAAATCTCTCTAATTGACATTGATGGAAAAAATAACAAAATCTCTCTAATTGAATCATACTAATTTTTTTCATATACAATCATATTCGTTCAATTATTTTTTATTACAAAAAACGAGTCTTATCCTATGAATTGGACTCCCTTGAAAAAAGGTCATATTTATTTTTTAATCAAATGTGTTATAACATATTTGCCATCGATATTTAATTTTAATTGCCAAATTATAACCATAGAATTTCATGATATTTCTTTTTTTTTTTTTTTAATTATCACTAGCAGAAATAGTTACAGCACCTTTGAATGATAGTAATCTTAATTAAAAATGGGTATCTCATTCCTAAGTTTCAATTGCTATAATAATATCATATTTAGTGTTTAGTTATTGTCGGCAATCTAGGGTAGGAATTAATGTCAATGGCAAATTATTCTAGAAAAAAATTTTAATTTTAGAAAAAAAGACTGATTTTAGGAGGAGAATTTAATTTTTAAAATGAAGTTAATTTTAAAAAATAACTTTATTTCAAGAATTTTATGGAATACTCAATCAATGCAGGTATAAGATTACTACCATTGATCATAGATTTAGAATACCCACTATTATTAAAAATTAAATTACAGTACGGTAGTAATCTTATTCCCGAATTAGATTACTGAGTAATTGACTATCCAAACGTGATAATCTAAGATTTAAAAATGAGAATCTCATTCTTATCAAGATCACTGCCATCCAAATGGCATTACTGCCGTTAAAAAAATATAAAATATTAGCAACACATCTTGTTTTTAGAACCGAAACTACCGATGACAAATCATTTTAATCACATATTTTTAAAAATTTAAACTCAGGAGACATACAATTACCTATAAAACACAAATATTATGTTAATTAAAATACCTCTTATCAAATTCAAACTTAAAACCTCCGAGTTAGTATGACGAATTGCAAATGCTTCTATTTTGGGGGTGGCTAGCTTCATGTACTGACTTGGCAGCCGAGTGTTGTTTACTGCATCGTTGTATTAAGGGATAACAGTCGCATCGGATTTTTTTTTCAATATAAAATTGAAAAAAAAAGAAGAAAGAAATGAAGCAATAATCATTTGCACAACATTACGGGTTACGTGCCTTCAAATGAAACAATACAACGCCAAACTCAAGCTATCTTACAACATAGCTCCTTTGTTCCCTATGGATGGATTTCAAGACATTGCGATACTCCCATCTATAACATGTAGCTCAAATGGTTCAATCATCTCGCCACGACTCAAAAATGGAGTTGTAATTCAGCATTTCCTCTGAAATATAAACATAATCACCCATTCAAATGGACCAGGATCTTCATAATGGAACAACATCAGAAGCAGAGCATGTTGAAAACTACAAAGCTGCTGGATCTGAAGGAGCTGTACTGTGGTATAGACAAACAAATATTGAAAAACTCTCCAACTACTTCGAGTATGCACCGTCCTACCATCAACCCATGTGGCTGCCCTGACCTCTGACATAGATCAATCATAATTAGCATGGCCCAATGCTTTAAACGGAGAAAATACAGCCGCCCCATTCTTTACCAATGATCTCTGAATAATACTCATTGTAATTGAGATAATCCCAGAAATGTGAAAGACCGAGCTTCACATGTCTAGGTGACTTGAGATAACATAAATACAATTCTTTGAGGTTCTTATCAAATGTCCCCTTTGTTGCAAGGACCTGAAAATCAAACAGAAATTAGTTAATTAGCAAATGGTCGCTTTCACGTCTCCAGTTGCAATAACTCAAACTAAAGCACATTCTAATCAATCGAAACAATTCTATGTAAAATTTCTACAGCTGATTTAACATTCACATGAAACAATCACATCTCGAGCTTGGTTCAATTTAGGCTCATTTGAGGTTGTCTGTTAAGTCTGACAAGCAAATCCTAAGCTCCAGACACAAGTTCACTTGTGTAACAAGCTCAGATAGACAGCTCAAACAGCTTGTGAACATGGTATGTCAGCAAGTGCAAGCAGCTTGGTTAGCATTTGCAAGAAAAAAATTAGGAAAAATTGAAATTAAAGGTAAAGAGCAATTCATTATCAGTTAATTTCACTAATAGGAAGTGCCACAATTCTCAGTTGTCCTGATAAGTTAATGATGATGCATCCCATAAAAACTGGTAAAATAGTGTTGAGTTATTTATGTTATGCATGGAAAAAATCGTCTGCCCACTATTATGAAAGCTTCTCAGAACAGTGCGAGTCATTTGACCAGACTCTATTGCTCACTAATTGTTAGATATATTTCTACACCAGTCACAGGATGACATGACAACAAATCAACTTGGTTTGCTGGCTTTGGCTTCCATGGGAGGATTAATCGAGCTGTCACAAACCAAATGAGCTTAAGAAAAATGGATGGTGGCTTGCTTCAACTCAAGCCAAGCTTGAGCTCTCGTCCAAGCCAACTGAGCCGAGCCTGAATACCATGTTGTTCAGCTTGAGCAGATCAATAACAGCCACATTCACGATGACACAAATCAGTCTACTTAGCACGTTACAAGGATATGCAATGTGCACAAACATAAAACTTCATTCATGTTACGATATTGGGACATTAGTACTTGTGAATGTACAAATTGAAACTTAGTGAACATATTGTCCAGGCTGTCATGTAAAATACAGACCTTGTGTTGGGGAACATGAAGTAAATGTGGAGAAAAAAGGGAAAAGAGGTTCAGAAGAATTCCCTTTACCCTGACCATTGAAGTACCATATAAGAGAACTCTGATACTTTCCTGCTTTTGAGAACCGAGTTCAAGATAATTCTTGTTTCAAAGAGAGAGAAAAGTGCTTCGGAAATCAAAATGAATTTGATTGAGAATAACCAGAATGCTTAGTAGTGTAAAAATGTAAAACTACAGATATCCAATACACGGCAACAGCAAAGAGCATGAGTTCAATCAAACAGTGGACAGTGTGTCACATGTCTAGGATAACAAGAAGTTTTCACTCTAATAAACTCAAGACTACAAATCTTGTGTGGTTTTCTACGGAAAATAAGTGAACTGTTGATTTCAGCCTCCAATGAAAGAAAATGCAGTGGTAGTTGTGCAGAAATGATTATCAATAAATGTGTCAGAGACTCAGAATCACCTGAGGAATATTGATCAGAGAAAGTTTACTCAGTAAACGTCCTTTATGTCCAGCCTCCCATGTGCCACCAATCAGACATGATTTGAAATCCAGTGCGCATTGCAAGATGTTTCCAATGATGCTTGCTACGGAACGCATTTCATCAGACAAAAAACATCTGCAACGATGAAATTTGTCATTTACTCTCTTCTTTTTTATCCAAATTTCTTTTGGGTAGGTAACAAAAGAAACCACTAAAAGGCACCAAGTCCTTAAATGAATATCACAAGGGGTGTTAAACAAGTCTAATGTAACCACAAAAGAAATGAAAAACATCGAATTTACAAAGAACATATAGGCTTTGAGCATCATAGAGAACTTTTCTGACTTCCAGTAAGAATGCTAACACAGTGCTAAGATAACATCTATGAAAACACAATCAAACAACTAGCCAAGTGATAAGTATCAAATCACCTAACCATCCATATATTACCATTTACAGACAGTTTCTAGTCAAGCACAAAACACGAAAGTAATATATGTTCTAGTCCCATATGGATAAATATTAGAACCTTCGTAAGAAGAAAAGGTGCTAACCTATCTGCATGAGATTCAATGTTCTTAAATTATTGGTTGCTTTCATCCTTCATCAAACTAACATAGACCTATCATCTAAGAGAAAAGATGCAAGCATCTAGAAATAAGGACTAGAAAATGCTTTGCATTGGACTTAGTCGGGATTGCAATGAGTCTGAGACAAAATAATTCTTCGATCCTGTTGAAGCTGAAATTGCTTGAAGGGAAAGAAAGTAAAAACCTCCAACCTGGGTGCTAACCAAGCAAACCCTAGTTCATCAATAATCAAGTGAAATTACAGTGCTAGGATGGTTGCCTCAATTATTTATGTATCCATATAAATGATGCAGGAAGGAGAGAGCCCTAATGTAATAGTGATGTAGGATGGCTCTCGGATAACATAAAACAGCCCTTAAGAATTAAGATTAAGGCTTATGGCAGCCTTCGTAAAGAATGCAACCTAGGAAGGACACATGCTTCCCACGGGGGTGTCGTGGCAGTATCGGACACGTGTCCGACACGGCTAAAAGTGTCTTGAATAGTTAACTCAGTTGGACACGACCAGAATACGTCTAAAACACAGTCAGGATACATCTAGAACACGGCCAAAATACATCTAGGATACAACCAAAAATTTTTTATTAAAAAAACAACTTTTAACTATTAAAAGTTTACTTTTTTTAATATTTTTTTTACGTAATTTATATATTGTGAATGCTAATAGATGCAATGATATTTGATGAAAATAGTGAGTATGTAATTTGATCTATTTCAATTTTAATCAAAAAAATAATATTTATCAGGTTTTATTATTAATATTGTTATAATATATACTTTATTTTTAATATATTACAACTCTATTATTATTTAAAAAATATATTATATTATTTTAATAACTGTATCCTTGCCGTCCCGTGTCCCATATTTTTTAACTTTATTGTATCCCCATGTCCATATCGTACCGGATACGACACCCGTATCTGTATCCGTGCTTCCCAGAATGCAACATTATTGTTGGAGTTTGAGATTGAACAAAAAAGAACTAGAATTTAGACTTATTACAAGATACAAAACACGTGGGCACAAAGTGCGAAGTTGGGGCATCACACTTAACAAAACAAACACAACCACCCTTCTTTGGATCCAAGGTCTTTTGACATCTCTCAATAACAAAAATATAGTATCACGCGTTCACAAACTTTGCATCACACTAGATACAAGAATTTTGAGTTATGTTTAACCAAATATATCCTCCAACAAATTTCCCTCCTTTTCCAGTGGAGGTTTACCGTTAAAAGATGGTAACGACATTGGACAAGTAAGCTAAAAAACAAATTTGACAATTAATCCTAGCATTGACTATTGTTGAATTATACATTCTCGAATTACACATTCTCTAGTAGCTTAAATTATAGATACACGAATCATAGATACCCCTAGCATCCCATAAACCGGCGTCACATGACCCAAAAAGAAGTGTGTTTGCAATCCAGATTGCTCAAACTCTTGATCCCAAAAATTTAACTCAATTACCAAATTGACCCACAATCTAGATAATTACAATTATAATCATAACTCAAAATTGTAATACTAACTTTTTTTATTTTGATTATCCCTAACATATATTTTGATTTATTAAGAGTTAACTCTTTTGTAACTCATATATGCAACCATTACCTTTACTATTTAGTATTTACAACTATTAGTTGATATGTTATCTTTGATTATGGTTCACTTTGAAACTTTTATCATAAATATAAAATAACTATTGTTAATTATATGTATATGGACATATAATTTTATGTATTTTTATATAAAAATGAAAAGCAATCCCGATAAGAGTCATAAATCCAACTAGAGTTACCAACTAAGTCTACCTCTACCGCATCACGAATCGAAAGAATTGTCTTAATGAGTACTTGTACCCATACCATGTATCAAATCGATCAACGATTCAGGTAACATTGGCTTAAACTTTTAGATCAGGTGGTGGTTTCACATGGTGTCAAAGCACGAGGTCTTCCATTCGAATCTCGCTGTGATTGTAATGATTAAAAGACTTCTACGTACTTAGCTCACACTCTAGCCATACATGAGGGTTTATGTTCTAATAACCCAAACTTTTATAGTAGTTGGTGGTTTGACAATTGCCAATGAGTCAACATTCAAAATAGTAAACTCTGAAATTTTGATCTTAATTCACTGTCAAAATACCCCGAATAGCAAACTTTGACAATTTAGAATCAATTGGCAAATAATATGAGTGCCCCTAGAGTAGTATTTGTCAAATAGGGCATCAAATCTCAACCATGGGCTTGTGCCAAGGGCCAATAAATTGGGTTGTAGGATATGGGTGTAGAACTTTGGGCATAACGACTAGAGGGCATGATGACTATAAATTGAGAAAATTATTAATTTGTTCTCTCATTAACTTTTTTCTTTCTTGATGGAAATAACTTGCCCTTTAGTAACAAAATATTGAAGTAGAAACATAAAAATATGCAATTTGATCAAAGAATGTTGAGAAGTGAGTTCACCAAAATTGTTGCTTCACCAACTATGTTATAAACAAGCAATTATATTTAAGAATCCACCGTCTACCGACATAACAAAATATTTTGAGGTAAAATATATTTGTGCCCATGTGATTTGGGCCTCTGCACTCTATCCCCTATATTTCAAAAATGGCCACACAACCCAAATATGGTTTTGAACCAAGCTGAACAATTAACATAGTTATCAACACTGATCAAATGGCATTAATATATTGCCCTTATTGCTTATCTCACCAGTGGACCTTCCACCACCCACTACCCAAACAACAAAACTTTAAGTTCAGCTTACCAAATGCAACCATGCACACACCGACTTCCCATCAACACCTCCACCACACGCTAGACGTAATTACACAACCATCATCATAGATATGCAAACAGATGAAAACACAATTGTTGTCTAAATCCCATCAATATCCTCCGAATTGTAAATCTCCATCAATTAAAGCATGCAAACACATCGGAATTTTTGGGTTTTCAATGCAAATGAAGTCCAATTTTATTTCTATCAAATTTTAGGTTCTACCTGCCAAATTCTACAAATTCAATCACATTTTAGGTAGGGTTCTTTCATGAAATTTTGCTAAGTTTCATCAATGACATGGAGGTTAGGTGGTGTTGGTGTGGGAGATCAACAGTAGGTGGTGTTGTGTGGGTTCTGCAAAGGGGTGTTGTGCTGCAAGGTGGAGCGTTGGTGGGTGGCAGTTGAGTTTCCATGAGTGGGTGGAGGAAATGGTGGAGCAATGGTAGGAGGTGGCAGGGTGTTGTAAGGGGTTGGTGGAGCGACAATGGGGTGGTGGTCGAGTGGTACTACAAGAGTGGAAAAGACAATGGAGCAGAGACATTGTGAACTAGTGAAGAGATGCTAGGAAGAAAAAGATGAATAAAGGGGCTTTCCAGTCTTTTTATAAATGTTACAAGGACCTATTTGTCTTTTCCATTGAAGGTTGATTTTGACTGAATTTTTTCAGTTTCCTCTGAAATCGAGCAAGTGTCATTCCTGTCACTTTGGATGGAATCCATAAGGTAACGCTTTAGTCCATATCCACACTGGGATTATATGGTTATTTCTAAAGTCTAAACCATAGGGGATACTACTAGCCCAAACCATAGAGGGTAAAATAGATGCTACCCCATCTTCAAAGGTGAAAAAACCCATTTTTGGGAAGTAAAGTAACATTCTTGAACTGGTCAAGAACTAGAACTGCAGCAGTTTGAACAATTATTTAGATATCCTTAGGTTTCTTTATGCATTCTTCTTGCTCCATTTGTGACTCAACAATCACAACAAAAATCTTTGACCTCTTTCTTAGTTCAGGTATCGTCATCTCTCATGCCTTGGCCCCTTCACATATGAGTTTTACAATAGGTTGAGGTGTTCATGACTCCATAGTTATGGTACCTCTTATAGTTAAATATCTCGTGATAATGGCCACCTCTCCATGCATGATGTGTACCTGAGAAGGAAGTTGTTGGATCGAGTGTTAACTCTACTTCAATTTTCTGATCTTTTAGCACCCCTGGTGGATCTCTATCTTCTTCTTTCTAATGTAAATTTACCTCGAAGGACCAAGTCTCGAGTTGAACCCAGTGTAGCGATGGACTTGTTAAAAAACTAACAAAAAGAGGCAAAGCTTCTTGATGTGCTTTTTAACTTGTTGATTTGATCCATCCTCTGTTTGCTGCCTTCTCATCTCCCTGTATTACTAGCCTCCTTGTTGGATATGTTAATTTTTCCTTGTTTTCATTGGATTTATTCTATATATTTTACCTTCCTTATGTTTACAAGTCTCAAAATCAATGCATAGATGTTACTGTCAAGGACATCAATTTTTTTTTTTCTTTGGGGGGAGGGAGGAGACGACGAAAAAAAAAAAATGAACTTACATGTGCAGTGACTCAGTTAGATATGCCATATGTACTGTCTCAAGATCCATCATGTCTTTGACCTACACAAATTAGAGATGAAAGAGAACAGGAAAAAATGACTAAAGGACAGAATCATGAAACATGAAGCATAAATATGGAGAAACTACAGGCCCATTTATTGCATTTGAGCTTGTGCTAGACATGCATAACTAAGTTAATAATCACAAACATCTTGGCCTTTTCGTATTGATGACGCAACATAAGGGAGCTTAAGGGATCAACGCCATCAAGGTTCATTAAACTAAATTAGGTACTGCAAATTAAAGCAACAATTACCATTGGGTGTGTGTATAGCATTTTATATGCACTAGTCCTAGGGTAAAAGTACCATGAATAGAATGACTTTTCCCATTCTGGTAAGCCATAGCGTTAGTTATTCCTTATCATCCCCGTATTCTACGATGGTAAACCAAAAAAAGTGAAGTGGTATTATTGGAATAGTAGGTAAGTAGTCTAGACGTGCCAGCACTGGAATTATATGAGCGTAAAGACAAGTTGTATATATTTGGCCCATTTCTGTAAAAATGTGACGTTCTGTCCAATCCCAAGAGACGGATGTAAAGCTAAACAAATTGTTCATTTATTCAGATCTCTTCCATTCCATCGATTTTATCCAAATCCTCCTTTCTTCTGGAAAAAAAATAAGAAGGATCTTCTTCAGTGGATCCCTTGGTTGCTATTTAGTACCTTCATTTCAAGAGTTGCTTCTATTCTACATTTGTTTCTTATGCACTTTCCCTACTTTCTTCCATTTTTGAGGTTTCTTTCAATTTCTTAGTAAGAATGGGTGAAGGTATTCTCCCTAAAGAGTAGACACATGTAATAAATAAGAGAATACTAAAGATTCGAGAAGTTTTTGATGGGAATATGAATCAAAACCATGTGCAAAAGCATATGAAATAATAATATCTATGGAACCAACATAACATAGAAATATTGGGGTATGGACACAAATCTAGTAACTAGGTGACAACATGTAACAACGTAAAAGGAAATAATGATGATAGTAAAATACAGAGTAAAGTAGAGAACAAGTTGCCTCAAACCTTATGCTTAAGGGAGTGCAGAAACCTGCACCAGGATACATGCGATAAATGTGATTGAACATATTGCTGCAATGTAGTTACAAAATGATTAATCTGGTGCCTGAAATAAAAGAGACAAGAAACAATTGTAAGTAAACATGTCAACAGAACAACTTCCAAGCATAAATGGGGAGTCAAAAACAGAAAGCTTCTACACATTCCAGAATCCCCGTGGAACGCAAAATATATTTGAGCTGAAGTCACTTTAAGTTTTGTGCTTTGATTAATCTTTCTTTGGCATAAGTTTAAACATAGTCAGTGAAACTAGATGCACCAACAAACAAACCAACAACCTATCCTTAAGAGAACAAATATTTTCTCAAGAGGACAGTGCGTCAGATAGAAGGTAGAGCAAGAAAACCATCTGAACTAAAATAGGAGTGGCACATCAAAGTGGTGAAGCAAAAACACTTCACGTAAACATCAGTGTGAAGAGAACTGGCATCTCCCATCAAAAGACTAAATACACCCAAGGTTGATTTATAAAATAAAAGTGCCACTCAACCCATTATCAATTAGTTTTGGGTTGGATGCTCTAACATGGTATGAGAGCTAAATCTTGAGTTATTGGTGGATCAAGTCTCTCGTCCATTTGAATTCTACAATCTATTTGTTTATTTATTTTCGTTTAGTTTCGGTCTATTTATTTGGTTGTTTCAGTTTGATTTGCTTGCTCACATGCGAGTCAGGATTAGATGTACACAAACAAGGTTGGTTTATGTATTAGGGAGATTGTGAAGAGAGCTTGCATCCCACATTGAAAACTTAGATTACACAAGAGTGATTTATATGCTTGAGGCAAGGATCAAAATTTCGTCCCAATATAGCCGATACATTTCCATTTCCAAGACCAAAGCGAATCAATTATTGAATCAAAATTGCAATATTTTAAGGTGTTTTGGTATATTTTGAGGTGTTTTAAAAATTTTTGAGATGTTTCGGTATGTTTCCACTAATGTTTTTGACTATTTCGAAGTGTTTTAAGATGTTTCAGTATATTTTGACCAATCTTTTAGAAATTTTTTGAAATAAATTCGTTTTTAATTATTTCTGAAATATTTCTAAAATGTTTCTGTTTTCCTTTCTTCGGTAATTGAAACAATGCACCGCAATGAAATTTTGATCCTTCACTTGAGGGGCCATTACACCCTAGAGAAAATGCAAATAAACAAAAATAATCAATTCAGCAGATGTTTTGGACTTGATAAAAAAATAATTAACACTGGAAGAACTGCACTATATAATTTATAAACCTAGCAGAAAATGCTGGCCATTTATCTGCTTGGCTAATCCTGGATGAGCCAATCCATATAGATCTTTGGACTTAAACTACAAAGAAAGACTGACTTGACAAATACTGCTCCAAAATCGAAACTCCATTACTCAAATTTCATGATTGATTCTGTGGATCGAACCAAAACTGCTTCATGTGTTTTTCCTCTCTTTGGCTTGCCTGCTCACACACACACACACACACACACATACATATATATATATATATATATATATTTAAATACACAAATATACATATATATACACACACACACATATGTACTTCCTATATGTACTTCCTAAGGTGAATTGCTAGTTAGTGTTTATCAGATGCTTTTCCTTTCCGAAATGCACAGATACATAATCTCAATTTAAACCGGTCAATCCCAACACGCATGCTCATTAAAGGAGAAGATAATGCACACTTTATGGTACCTAAAAACACAACTAATCCTCAATCAACTAGGAATTTCAAGGAAGTGGCCATCAAGAATGAATTTAGTCTTACTGACTAGTATAGACCCCAAGCAACACCATTTTATGTGACAGCACGTCAAGAGAAAAGGAAGCAGCCCAATCATGCCTTTTACAAAATAGAAAACATAATCATCCACCCAGACAATTTTGACAAACAAACAAGCAAAAGTTTGTGGATTCACCCAAATTAATGAGTGACAACCTGAATATGATACTTCCGCTTAATCCATGAACTAAATCCAACTATAGATGCATCACATAATGCTCGAGACTATATCTATACTACTAATAAAAATACACTATCAAGAAAAACTTTTAATTGACTACTTTACCCCTAAAACAAAATATAAAGACAATACTAGCCTATTTAATGCATAACTCATATTAATAGGACTTCATTAATGCTAAACTTTTAGTTGGACAACTTTACTTTCATAATAAAGACAATACTAACATTATTAATACAGAATTTATATAAATACAACTTCATTAATATTACACACATCCAAGCCTTTCATATTCTTTCTTTTTAAAATATAAAAGTTAACTATTAAAATAATTAAATTTATTTTTATTTATGTATCTATTTTCATTAATTGATAACAAGTTTATGAATTTTCAAATGAAATTGTATAAAGGCACTAAGATCTTATATAATATAAGATTTATTTTAATATAACTTGGACAATATTATCAAATCCTGACTTTTCATATTCTTCTCTTTTATATTTTAGTTTCAATACATCCTCATTAGTTATGTGTATTGCCAATATTACAATCCATTTTATTTTTATCTGTTAACAATGCAATGAATATTCAGTATTACATTAATTTACTTACCACAACTTAACTTCTTAAATTTGCTAAACCAATTGTTTATAATTAGATGACCACCATAACTTAAAACAATTTCTCTTTAGTATTATTCATAATTTAATAAGTGAATGTGATTCTTTTTAGTTATATATACCCGCATACCACAAAATATATTTATACCATTACTATGATATTACAAATAAAATTAATCAAAATTATTAGCTTCATGTGAAAAGTTATAAACCTTAAGGGTAGAAGTTTACAAGAAAATAATTCATCAAAACATTAAGAGTTAGTAAAAAATATAAATAAAAACTAATATCCATTCTAAAAAAATGCAATATACGTCTAGTATAAATTACAAAAATTTTAAAATAGGTATATTTAGATTGTTTGGTTTATAAGTATGCAGTTGCCATTGTATTTATTTCATTGTTTCAAATTAAAATCTTAATTGATCCAAAAAAAAAAAGTTAAACTCTTAGTTAAAACAAAATCATAGCTCAAAAAGTCCACGTGTAAGGCATGTATGCATGATCTAATGGTCAAAAAAAGTAATTTGAGGGCAAAACCTTCACACACTAAATGTTCAATGTACCTCATTTTCATTAAGATATAAAAATGGCACACTTCTGATTCGTCCAGCTCAGAATTGGATCTTCGATCGACGAAATGCATTAGCTCCTGTTGACCAACATGTACAAAAAATCGAGATTTATACTTCAGAACTACAGCTCTAATAAATATATTTCCTTCTAGGGTTACTTAAATATACATTAAAGGCTTAAAACCTTGTAATGGCTACATTTAAACTATTGAAATAACTTCCTCAACATCCAGAAACACCCAAAAGCTAGTCAGCTTAGTTAAAACTCCTAACTCCCAAGACAATGAACAAAGATCTAACAGATGAGGAGACAAGTAAGCATCCATCTTTCTATGATCCAAGACAATTTGTTTGAGGTCCACATATAGCACTTTTCCATTGATTGTTATCAATAGTAACCAAAGTCCAATAGGGTGAATACGAATGATATGTTGCAAGTGAGAAGTCCTTATAAAGCTTTGAGTCCAGATATTTGCTCAAGTTGTTTCAAAATGGAGAGTTTAATGCACATTTAATGATTTTAATCATTCATTGTTTTTTGCTTGGGGTCTGTGGAATAAGTTGTTTAATGTGAATAAAAAGGCTTTGCTTTGTCCTGGTACAATGGAGAAGAAGTTGCAATTTAAGTTTTGGGGTTCTGTGAAGGCTAAAGAATCTAACATTCATTGGAACTATGCTCGATGGAGATTCTTTGGTGTATTTTTTTCAGAGAGGCATGCAAGAATACTCCCAGATAGTTCCCTGCCTTTTCAAGTTTGGGATAGAATTGTGTTCCTTTCTTCTTATGGATCCCATTCAGAGGGGTACCTTTCTCAAATGCTCAACAAGATGTGAATGTAGTTCTATTATTTTATTTTTTTGTGTGCAAAGAAATAAAGATTTTGTTTTACTTTTATTTTTCTCCTTTTCAGTATTACTTTGTTTTTTTTTTTCTTTTGAAGATATTTTACCATCTATATTGTACCCCTTTTCTCACTTTTCATCCTTAATAATATTTTTCTTTTATCAAAAAAACAATTACTTATGTATCATACAAGCAATCCGTGCATTAGTTTTTTCAGTAATTGTGAACAGTTCACAGATTGAAACACTGAACTAGGATCAGCAGGCATGTATACCTATCACATCATATCTATGTACATATATTATTATTCTAGAGATGAGAGGTACTATTGCAATCTTTTAGATTCTTTTTGATATGAATATATGGGGAATGGGGTGAGTCTAATGGCTCAGACTAAACCCCAATTACGTATTGCTTTCTCTTATTCTCTTTTCCTTTCTTTTCTTCCTTCTCTTGTTCCATTATACATTAACACTTTCAACTGGGTATCAAAGCTACCAATCAAACACAAGCGACACCCTGGCTATCTGTACGACTTACATCAGCATGCATACATGAACCATGTTGTCTGGATCACCTCTTCATACTGAGATTTATAGAAATTTTTACGAATTGTTTCAACCCATTTGCTTTGTTTTTCATACTTCCTAAACATTTTTGGGATTTTTGGACACATTTTTTAGATATGATTGTTGCAGGATTTTTTTGTTGGCTGATTTCTTCCCTCGATCCGACTAGAAGGAGCTTCCAACCTCTTTGGGGTTGATTCTAACAAATTCAGGACAAGAGTTTTTGTGGTATTTTCCCAACTTTAGTGATCCAGCTTCCCCTAGGGTGATTTTTTTCTGTAATCAAAATGATAGTTGTCAATGATCATCTATGTTGATTTGTGAGCAACGAACGCTATTGATTTTTACCTTCTATGTGAAGGTTGTGTTATCCCTATTCCCTAACATTGGATATGTTGGAGTGTATCACTATCAACAACTTTACAAGCAATGAGGGAGTCGGCTGAATCATGTAGGGGACCTTGGTGATAACCCTGTTGATCACCAACTACTTGAAAGCTTTTAAGAGGGTGTAATGTAAGTATTTATACTTCAACATACCCATCATGTGTAGGCTAAATTTTTTGGGTCTAACACTTCGAAATCTTTTAATTATCAGTTTGGCGGTAAGATTCAAACATAGTGCTTACCGGAAAAAAAAAAATTTCGGACACAACATCTCCTTCTCTGATGTTTAAGCTATCAAATACTCTAAGAGGTCTACTCTAAGAGTTTAAGCTATTAGAGGTATTGCAAGTTAAGTATTTATATTTCAACGGATCCATCTTTTCAGATTAGTCATATGTCAAGTTGGTGCCAACAACTATTTGACTTGGTCATGATCCGGTGCTTAATCGATGGGCGCCTATGGCACGACTGCATAATGACATGGGTATTTTGGTCTATGCATAAGAGAACGTAATCAACAACATTCAGAAAATTTGTTGGTGATGTCATATGATTGCTCATTTTCGTGCAACCATTGATTAGTCGTGATTTTTTGATTGCTCATTTTTTTACTTCTTGATACAGCATAGAGTTAAATGTTGGCTTGGCGCATAAACCTACTCATAATATTGCATAAAGATTTGGAATGTTATTGCTCAGACCTACCTCGTAATGAACTTTTTATTGTCTCCTTTGTGGTTTGATCATGTAATTGATGATATTACTCCACCTATTTCCGACAGAAAAAGAGTTGGGCCTATACTCTTTAGTTTTTTATTTTCTGCATCTAATCCTCAAAGTTGGGAGGAAGAAATTACAAATTGAAGTGAAAAGAAGTAACGATAGACGAGATGAATGCTCCAACAAAGTATAACACCTGAGAGTCATTTTCTATCCTAGAGGGAAAACTGAATTGGGCGCAAATGGGGTTTACGGTGAAACAAGAAAATATGGCTCAGTTGAAAAACACAAGGCAAGGTTGGTAGCTAACATTATTTACTCAAACCTATGGCCTGAGTTGTCATGAGAACTTTGTACTGGTTACCAAGATGAATACTGTTTGGGAGGTTATACCTTATGGAGCCTAAACTATTTGGCTATGACAAATGCATTTCTTCACACAAACTTAGAGAAGGAAGAACAATTAGAAATCCCTTTAAGGTTTAAGGTCTGCAGACTCAGGCTGAAGAATTGAAGCTATCACTTAGGGAATGGTTTGGTAGGATCCACAAGATAATTATTATAACGGTTGTTAGGTACAAATAGATTCATACAGATCACACTACATTCATCAATTGGCTAATAAAAAGAATAGAACTCTCGATATCAATGATTTAGGTTTGCTTTGTTACTTCGCTAAATTTTGGAAGTACTCTGCCAGACAAAAGTATATTTCTATTTCAATGAGATATATTCTTGAGAGCTCATATATTCTTGATGCTCTCAAGAAGACTGGTATGTTGGGGTGCTCACCAGCTGGCCGCAACCCTTGCCCTAAAAGTGAAGAAAGTAATCTGACAAATAAACAGAGATCTCAAAAATTCGTGGGAAGCTTATCTCTCTCTCTCTCTCTCACACACACTCAACCAGATATTATCTATATAGTGAGTATTCTGAGTCACTTTATGCATACTTGAACTATTCACCTAGAGATTGTTTTCCAAATATTGAGATACATAAAGTTTGGCTGGCCCAGGAAACCTATATTATTCTGCAATCAGAGACATATGAACTTGATGTGATATGGTATGGTTATGGAAAAGAAAACATATGGCACCATATAATATCTAACAGAACACTAAAAGTAGAAGCCTTTACAGATGCAGATTGAGCAAGAACGGTACAAGACCGAAAATAAACTTCGAGTTTTTGTGTGTTTGTTAGAGGAAATCTTCTTCTTGCTTGAATAAACAAAAACCAGTTATTGTTGCTTGGTCTAATACAAAAGCATAATATAGCCCATGGCCCCAAGGATTTGTCCATATTCATGGCTTTAGAGGAAATCTTCTTCTTGTTTGGATTAAGGACATGTTGAATAAAGACTTGATCTCTACACCATTTGTTAAGTCTCAAGGATAGCTTGCTGATGTATTTACTAAGGGCGTTAGGAGTGGGATTTTTTACTCTCTCGTATGTAAGTTAGGCATGAGAGGCATCTATGCACTAACGTGAGGAGTGTTAACGTATATCATTATTCTAGAGAAGATGGGTATCACTGTAATTTCTTGAATTCGATCCACAAAAAATATAAGATAAGGGATTAGTCTAATAACTCGTACAAAAACCCTATCTTATATTATGTTCTCTCTTCTCTTCGAATTTCTTTTCTTTCCTCTCTTCTTCAAAAATGGAAATTTGAATGTAAGCTTCTATGCACGAAGTAGACCAGCTTCCAGAAACCCTCACCTTTAATGAGCACCATACATCAGTTAGTGAAAACACCGCAAGCTTGACTTGTATTAGAAAAGTGAATATCTCAGCATATATTTTTAGTGCATCGGCGGACAAAATGAGACTAACTGGCCAATCCACTTTGTATCCCAAACCTAAAAAATCAAATGAACGGATTCCTGCCACACAACATAGAAAGTTAACAAGATGAAATAAGAGTGAGAAAATGCACCTATAATGATTAAAGGACAGCGGGAAGAATCAAGTAAAAAAACTTGTTGGAGTCACAACAAAAGACTACCAGTAGCAGAAGCTGAACAAATTATCGTGCCGTGTCCTTTCATGTAAACATATAACCGATCCTTATTAAGGTCACTTTCACATGATGACCTCTGAACTGACAACTCAAGAAACCCCTGAATTTCTGGTATTCTCTTTTCTGCCTCTGTAGCATACCATTTCTGACATTGTTAAAAGTGAGAGAACTGATATCAGATGGGTTAAAGATGCATAAATCATAATAAATATTAATAGGAAAAATACATGATTCCAAAGAGACATGATAATAAATATTAATAGGAAAAATACATGATTCCAAAGAGACATGATAAACGAATCTGCCCAGTCCGCAAATTCCATGAAATGGTATCGCCGCAGTGCCAGCAAGTGTTCTCGCAAACTAAATCCCTCTTCAAGCAACTTGATTGTCACTGTGCTCAGATACCTGTATCTATCAGTGTTAAAGAAGAGGTTTTTTAGCAAGAAAAGATTGCTAAAACAGCAAGATCTTGAGCAGGACAAAACTTTATTTTGTTGGAAAACCATACTCCATTTGAAAGGAAAAAAAAAGATGATTGATTTTTTGAAAAAAATGTGGAGCCACGATTGCTAATCCAATATAAATCCATCATGATTCCTAAATATCTCACCCTATCATTGATGATGGATCAGTTCAGGTAATAAAAGTGGGTCATTACACATTTATTTGATTAATTTTAGTTCAAGCAACTTATTATTTATTAAAATTTTCCACCACTTCAAAAACTTTAATATTCCTTCATGGGCCCTCCAAAAACATGCAAACAAACTGTAAGCCCCAAGAACAAAAGAATCATATGCCTTCACTAAGATGATCAAAACCTTACAAAATAATTTCTTACATGTCAATGCATTGCAGGCTGTTTGAGTTAGCATGCAAGGTAGTCCTCTAATATTCATTGGAATGTTTATAACAGAGTTATCCATGCTTAACAAAAAGAAGGAAGAAAATCAAAATCAAACAATTATGAATGCATTGTGGCAAAAAACTTTAAATGCAATCAAATAAGTAGGATACTGTAGCTTTATACTCATTTTGAGCTGGTAATGACAGCAATCGACACTTAAGGAAAAATATAACACAAACTACTGACTGCATGTAGATGAACTGCTGGTCTGCATCTCTCAATAACATAAGGATACTGAAGCAAAATCTCCTCCAATAGGCATTTCTCAATAACAAAATCTAGCGGTATCTGAAATTCAGCAGGCAAACTGGTCCTGTGATCTCTGACAGCAATATTGGCACAGTTGCTAGAACTACTAAGCAGACTCTGCCAACTACCTCCACCTGAAACGCTTGCCAATCGCACATCTCCTTGGTCATTACTCTTCAACCCTGAAGGCAAACAAGCATAAGATGGTTTGAGCTTATCAACTGAGACATCATCACCACTATAGCCTTCTTTTTCATGGCAATTGCTGATAGCCATGTCAGCAGAAGCAACAGAGTCAGTTAAAACTGAAAGCTCAGCAACAAATACACGTCTAGGATGGGCTCTGAAGTTCTCCAAGTATAGCTGACAAGGGTCTTTTACACAGGCAAAGTCAAAGAAAGACAAAGGCTCTCTATAGTCTGTACAGCCACTTTCTGCAGGCTTATTCCTCAGGTGATTAAAACAACTTTTGCTCAGTATTGGGTTCATACTGAGAAAATTAGAGTGACATCTAAGATTCCACGATTGCAAACTAGGTGAATTTGGCAATATGCAAGTTCCAATGAATGGTTGAGCCATGTTGGTGGTCTCTATTTGATCATTTCTAGAGAGAATCAGATTGTTGCAATTGGATGCGCCTTCCTCCCTGCAATTGGATGTGCCTTCCTCCTTTACTACCAAATTCTTACTTCTCAAGTTCAAGCCATAACCATACATATATAACTCTGTGTCATCTATGTTCCCTTGGTCAACATAAAATGGATTTTCCAAAAGACCCCCTAGAGGCCAACCCATAGCATATTGACTATCAATACCTAGTATTTCAAAGGTATTTGGCAAATTAAACTCTCCTGGATTGGAGAGTGAAGAATTGTCACTCAAACTTGTTCCTGCACACTGTACATGCACAAAACCAACAGGATCTGTTCTTTTGCAATTTCTACGTAAATCGCTTTCCACAGCACATATCCTCCGACTGTTGGAAGGCTTTTGCAATGGACTATCAGCGGCAATGCTTGAGGAGAAGCTCAAAGCAGATAAGTATTTTTGCTCCAGCTCGACCATACCATGAGGTAGATGTTCAGAACCATTTTGCTCATCAGAGCTATTAAGAGATGAACACTCAGATGACTCCAAAGCATCATCCTCATCCACTACGCTAGATGCCTCACAATCCACATTAAAAATGGACCTAAGAATCAGAGAGATAGAACCTTTCATTATGCAACAGCAGCGATGAAAATGGAAAGTGAAAAGCACAGTAATCATCAGGATGGATACTAAATGATTGCATAAAAAAATGAGTTCCTGCAAGCCACATCTAGATTTGATACAGTGAAGTAACTTGTAAAGTACATGCATGCATTTGCACCACGGAGACGTAAACGGTAGAGACTAGAGACAGAGAAAGAGCTTACAAATTTGGGTCTCTTTCATTTGCTGAGGGAGAAATCAAGGTACCACCTGCTGCAAATGAAACTGGAATGTTCAAACTTTTATCACTCTTTTTACCGAAGATATGTGCAATGCCAGGTGGAACTACCTGGAAAAGTTTATTTTTAATAAATCAAATGAAAAGGAAGATACAAGAGAGCCCACCGCTAGAAAGCAGGTTAGACACAAGAATCACTAGGTTGATCAATCCGTGAAGCTGTCTCCTCACTCTCCAAATGTTACTGCAAAACTATTATTTTGACAAAGGGAAAAACAACGAAAAGAGAGAGGCTTCTAGAGAACCTGCGATGTAATGTAGTTGTCCAGAATAAAAAATCCCATGTCCCATAAACGATTACTATGCAAATGGTACATTAAGTGAAGTTTTGTTCATCTATAAGTTCACAAGATTTTTTGAAAGAGTGAAGTTCATAGACATGATTGCCATTTAAAAATTTTTATACCGGATAAATTGTAACAAGGGCTGCGGAACTCTCTCTCTCTCTATGTGTGTGTGTGTGTGTAGAGAAATTGAAAGGGATTCCTACTCAGTCCCCCTCCTCACACTTTACAGATTTTGTGACCATCTTAATCTATAATCACCAAAAACAAAGTGTCTCTTATGACTTCAAAGTTCAAACCTTTCTTTGACTACTTTTTGTATTTTAAATCAGATCCCTAACCGTTGGAATTTGGGGTATAAAATTGAAAAGAATAGGATTATGGCTTACTACGATTTTTTTTCTTGATAAAAGCAGAAATTAATACGTAGAGCGAACTTGATACAGAGTTATAATATTGAGGGCAAGATATCTTCACAGTAAGCAAGACAGCTTACCATGATTTTGGTAGATATAACTTCAATAGAAGCTCAAAACTTTCCGAATGAGCAGGGTTGAGTAAATAACTTATTTGTTTGACTGAGCAGTGATAAAAATATACTAGAAACTGAACAGATGGCCAAATATGAATTTTGGAAATTTCATAACTCTCAATAATGTGAGACTCTCTTGAATTCCGCATGCACTTCAAATTCTTCATCCAAATTAGTTCATCGAGAATTTCACACGTGGTTCCAACATCAAGCATCTGTTGTGTGTTGACTAATGTTGCCCTACACACTATTACTTATTGATATTGGGCCTTGTAATTACAATATTGTGAAAAATATTGTTTTCGAGTAATATGAAAAATTCTGGATTCAAAAGTAATTCAGTATAGAAACAATTCGTGACTTGGGAGCTCTTTTGGGAAAAGTCCAATCACGGAAATATAAGTCGAATAGGTAGCATCAAAATCACTTGCTAACTGGTAAGAGTAGAAATAAGCCTCATGCAGGCCATGACAGGATGCTCCATCATGGCTGCTAGTTTCATCAATTGCAACAAAGAAAAGTAACAGGAATACAGGATTTACATAGAGAACTGACATCACATGAAAACTTCCACAAAGCAACCAGGTAACTATTCTTGAATAATGTACCCAAAACGCATAGTCAACAACAAACGATGGAGAACTGTGATGCAATTACCTGTTGATATCTGAATTCTAAATTTGTCAAAAGTATTTCAAGTTTCTCCAGCATCTTTATGTAATAATCATTCCGTGCAATAGTTGCAGCTTTTACACTTCCTTTATTAAAAATCAGTGGAGATAAATAAGGTCGACTATCGCTTGACCAACCACCCCAGCATGGCAATATATTGTCATAAGTACGGTTCCAAGTGTCAACATTACTACACAAATCAAGCAGCTTCATTAGTACTTGAAGCTGCTGACCAGCCCTGAACAGTGGAGTCGAGAAGTCTTTCAAAAAGCAAGGAACAGCAACTCCATCTCGCTCCTGAGGTGAAATCTCCAAGTGGTAATAATCAAAATCAAAAAGAAAGTAAGAATATTACTAACAAAAAGCGGCCTCTGGACTTAAAGTGTTCAAGTTATAATAGACAGCATTACCCTAATTGCAGCCAACGGGAAGTCAATAGAGAGTCCAGCTTTTCCCCGTGAACAAGGCTGTATTTTATCAATACAGTCCACTATGAACTCCTTATAAGGATCACTAATCATGCCTTCATAAATCCATGATCTAATAAAACCATAATATGGTTCAAACGACTGGAGAAAGAGAAACTTGAGGAGATCACGATGGGCTGGATCAACAACCTATAGAAAATTTTTCCACAAAGAAAAATACTAATTAGCAGAACCTCCAGAAAATCTATATGATAAGGAGCATTTAATGTTGTTATATATACATATATTTACAAATCTCCTAGTCGTCAAAAAAAATTCCACCTATAAACAATTAGATTTTCAAGCAAACTGATAATCAAATATTAAACACCCAAAAATGTATCAAACAGTGTGGTAATGTTTTCTACTTTTCTTGTAGGATGCTCAACCATAATGGCCCTTTTTCTTCTGAAATATAGAAAGATAAAAGCACAGTGCACTTTCAAGGAAATAACCAACTTACTAAATTTTACTAGCTAGGTTATTGTTCATGCTTATATTCTTTTACTATCAGCTGGGATTTTAACATTATAGAAAACATCATAGTTCTTGTGCAGACCTAACAACATGGATAATATACACTAGACGATGAAAAATCATAAGCAGGGCCAGGTCCAGCGGGAACGTGGACTGACAAACGTGAGGTTGTGACTTTCAAATTGGAGGACAGACACTTTGTACAAATAATGTTAAATGTTTTGTCTGAATGACTCTAACGTTACTAGTGTCATCGCTTAACTGGACCAATTTAGATAATGAATGTTATACATAAAAATCAAAGGTCACCGAGTTACACATCAAGAATATATGACAGCAGGAGAAAAAAAAGAACTTTTAAACAAGGCTGACCTTCAGTTGCCTATACAAATAAGTGAGTAGATCTCCACCTCTTGGGAAGTTACCAAACTCTGAGTTTGCTCTATTGCTTAAATCTTCAAAACATGCTACTGAAAAGCAAAGAGCTACATCATGTACATTGCAGATACTTCCTAACGCTTCAATCTGAGTTCTCAATTCCTTTGTATGCAAGTAAACCTCCAATAGCGTAATTTCAGAATGCCCAACACTAGTAAGACAGCCAACTCCACTGTCAGTCTTCGAAGAACGCCTCAACCCCACAGATGCATACAGTGTATCCAAACCCAATGTGTAACCATTTGAAACCTTTCCCACAGCGGCGGCAAATGCCTGATTAACAAGACAGTAGGGAGGGCAAGAGTCCCCTTCACTATTTACTTGTCTGTTTTTTACAGAATTATTATCATTTAAACTCCAATGTGCAAAGTAATCGATGAATTTACGGAGTAGAAGAATTACACAACCCGATCGGCCTATGGACTTGAGCATATTCGCCAGAGCAAGAGTACTGGAAGACCGGTTCCATAGACTAGGGATTCGATGGAAGGTCCTGTCGGCTGGCTCACAACAAAACGCTGCACAGAGCTTTTCAATACTTAAAATAGCTGATTCCATACCTTGCAGTGCATTCATTCCCAACCTCACCAAACTATCCTCCTGCCACCATTTCAAACAATCTAACATTTATATTACCTAATTATTAGCCGTGTAATGCTTCAATTCACATACGCACACAAAAATCGTGTATATATAACTATACTTGCTATTAACTTACCACGGATATACATTGTATCCATATATATGCACATGTTCACGCACACACACACACACACACTCACATATTCACACAATTGGACTTACAGAGACGGTGGAAGTGCGGTAGAGGTGTTTTGAGAGAGAAGATTGAGACGTTGAAGTGTTGGAGTGAGAGATTCCGCTTTCGGAAGGGATGGATTCCCAAGGTCTCGGTGGAAGCCATGGATCTTCAACTTTTAGGTTCTGCAACGACGACATGAAGTTAGTATCCACCGCCATTGATGAGAAATGGTTAGAGTTCGCCGTCTGTGCTGGAGAGTTTTGAAGACGGCGAGAGGTGATTGTACCGATCGCAGAGAGGGCAACCGGAGAGTAGGAGGTAATTGATTATTCGAATAGATACGGAATTGGCAGACAAACAGCAAAACTAGAAGAAAGACTTTTAAATTGGGAATCCCGGCCGAAACTCAAAACATTCAAAATTTTTGGAACTGCCCTTTAATACAATTTTTTTCTTTAATTTTATCTTTATAAAATTATTTTTTTCTGTCTAATATCATAATTAAGAAATTAAATTTTCAATTTATAAAACAGAACAATAATCAAAATTTATTTATTTGTTATTTATTTTAATTCAATGAAATAAAATTCATAACCAAAAGTTTTTTCTAACTCAAAAATATTATTTTCTATTCCTATATCTTAATGTCAAATAATTCAATTTCCACACTCAACCCTATTAATTTATACTTACCTCTTTCTTCTCATGCTTATTTTTTATATGTTCATTTTAATTTAAATTATATAATTAAAAAATAAATTATTATTCAAAATATAAATATTATACAATTAATATTTAATTTTTAGTATTACATAGTATTTTTAGACACGAAGTTATTTCTAATCTATATAATATGGAAATAACAACTTGCATAACAAAAGTTATAAAGTGCAGCACAAAAGTTATAAAGTACAATAACGATCGAGATTAATCTAATTTTTATTTATTGTGATTCAAAACTACAAAATTCATTCAAAAATAGATGAAAAATATTATTTTTTTTGCACAACTCTCAATATTAAATAACCCAATATAAAGTCTTCCACACTCAAACCTAGCTCTTTTTTCTTTCTCTCATATCCCTATCCTATTTTTGATACATTTATTTTAATTTTAAATTACGTAATTAAAAAATAAATTATTATTTAAAATATAAATATCAAAAAATCAATATTTAATTTTTTGATAATACGGAGTATTGTCAAACACGAAATTATTACTAGTATTTAAATAAGACCCATATTTTATATATGTAGATATTCAGCTCATTAATAAAGAATGGTCCATAAAAAATTTAGGAAAAATTTCAGTCACACCCCTTCTAGTTTATCATATCTTCAAGGACATCCTCTCTATTTTTTAAAACTTCAATGACACCCCGGTAAGATTAAATGTGTTAATTAGAATGCATTTTACTAAATTACCCATGATATATTTTAGGAAAAAACTTTATTCACACCCCTATACTAGATAGACATATCTTCAACGAGTCTCTCTCTATTTTTTAAATGTTTTTACGTATTAAAATTCGATTCGAGCTAATAAAATTTATTTTTTATATATTAAAATTTGATTCGATTGAAAATTATATTCTTTTATATATTAAAATTTGAGCAGATTAAAATTTTATTCGAGGCTCAAATCAAATTTTAATCGGTCCAATTTTTGATACATAAAAAAATATAAAGTTTAATTGAATCAAATTTTAATATGTAAAAAATAAATTTTAATCAACTTGAATCGAATTTTAATAAATAAAAAATATAAATTTTAATCGACTTGTAATAAATTTTAATCAGGATTAACACCTCAAGTAGAACTCAAATCGACTTAAATTTTAATACGTAAAACAAGACTTTTAACAAGCTTGAATTTTCATACATAAAAAAATTAAAATTTAATCAGCTCGAATCGAATTTTAATCAGATCAAATTTTAATATGTAGAAAAAAAATTTAATTAGATCAAATTTTAATATGTAGAAAAATAAAATTTAATCGACTCGAATTTTATGTAAAATTTTTTTTTAGTGTTTATGTAGAGGAAATTTTGGTATTTTAAATAATTTATTTTTGTTATAAATTGTGGTTTAACGGAATGAGATGTCAGTGATGTTTAAATATAAATTAAAATTGGGTATCAATAATATTTTTGATAATAAAGAGGCGCTCTTGAAGATATAGTAAACTAGAAGGGATATGATTGAAATTTTTCCAAAAATTTAAGAAAAAATTTACTAGAAGATTTCTTAATTCAAAAGTTTCCAAAGATGGCTCGTATGCATCTATACATTAAATTTCCCACAATATCATCATTTTTAAATAGCTGTAAATTTATTTTTTAATATAGAATAGCTTTAGGGAGAATTATATTTTGAACCCTGAAAGATTTTAATATTCTTATTTTATACACTTAAATATTAAATTTTTCACATTTTATTTTGAATATATCAAAAGTGTTATAATATGATCATTCTATTTGCTTTTCGTTAGTTTTTCTGTCAATGTCAATAAATTGACTTTTAATAAAAAAAAAATAACAAAAGTTAATTGAAGGGCGTATTATAATAATTTTGATACATTTAAGGGTATAAAGTAAAATTTTAATCTTTGAGAGTATAAAATAAAAAATTTAAAATCTTTCGGTGTACAAAATACAAAAAACCCTAACTTTTATAGAAACTTGATTTAAAATCACATTTCAAAAAGTGAAATATGTTCTAAAAATTGGTTTTTTTTTTCCCCCATATTGATAGCATTTTGAGCTACATTTTAAACCTATAGGTGGTGACGAGATTCACGGTCTAACAAAGTTGGTTCTTGTCGCCAAAGTTCATGTGGTTGTAAAAATTTAAAATGAAATGCGTTTTCTTAAAAAAAAATAAAAATAAAAAATACTTTCACAAAATGAATAATTTGCTTGTTTTGAGATGAAAATGTGTTTTTCTTGGAAAAATTACTGTCACAAAATAAATAATTTGCTTGTAATCGCCAATAGAGTCGAGATAAGTTACAAGAACAAGTTCAATGTTGACCATGCGCAATGCAAACTATTTCCAAGGACAAAGTAGATAGCAAATCAATTTATGGAAGTCTCCCGGTGAGGTCCTGCAATAGTTTGAGATAATTTATTTTGGGATAAACTTGAATAAAATTTTTGAAACATGAAACGAGGTCAGATGCTTAAATCAGTCGATATTCAAGGTCGAGAGGATAAGTGTACAATGCAAAAACTAATTTATAATGCATAATTTATGCTCTATTTTCATTGGCGTATTTTATATCTTCAAATGTGATGTCGTGATAACCACTCGTGTACTTATAGCCTAGACTTGATAGTCTATAACTATCGAGTTGTGAAATAAGTACTCTCTATCATGCCTCATAAATGTCTAGTGATGGAACACAATCAGACTTAAATGCTCAGGAGAGCCGAGCATTTATGTCTTCCCACCCCTTGAACACCAGGTCGTTCAGAACATCAAGTGCTTGATCCTACGCCAAATATTTATGGTCTATCACCAAGCATTTATGGCTTCGTGCTGAACACTCAATTTGATACCCATGAGGGCTATTCTCCATTAGTAAAGGGTCGTGTCTCCCTCTTTGGCGACTCGTTCGTCACATTAACATTCTACACGAAATGTATTTCCCAAGAGTAATTAATCTTCATGATCAACTATGTATCTATTTGTCCCCTTGACTCAGTCTATGGGATGCCGTCAGTCGGTCTGAATCTATAGAAGCATGGATAGCACATTTGTTAGCTATTATTTACCACACGTCGATTTGTGATTGACGATTCTCCCATATCTTGATAGAAAGATCACCAAAAAGTAATTAATTTTTTAACTTGTCCAACCTTATGAGAGAGTTAGATTGCACTCTTGTTTAATTTGATTTCAAATCTCTCCAAAATATTTCTCTCTCATTTTCAATAATAAATAATATTATGTATTTTCGGGAGACCCATTTATATCAAGAGTGCTATTCACGTGGATTGGGTAGGTTCAAAGTTCAACCTGGTTCAACCAAGAATCAACCCAAACCCAAATCCAAATCCTTTACTTTTGAATTTGAATTCTTGTTATCCAAACTTATTCAAATTTGAGTTGAGCACGAATTTGATCATCAAGTTACTCAATTCAAGTTGAACCCAAATCACATAACTTAAATTAAATACCATAAATTCGAGTTTCCAATCCAAGGATTGACGGAATTTAAATTGGGATGAGATTTTTTGCTATTTTTTTTGTCAAAATACTAACTCTTTTGGAGTTGGTTGCTCAATTTGCATGTATCCCATATTTATATAGGGTGAATCCCACTTAAATTTATAACGTGTATCGTAGAGAAAATTTAAGAAAAAGTAAGCGTACGGATATTACACATTATGAGGAGAAAGAAGTTTTTCTTGAGAAATCTTCTTTCTTGTAGGCATGTAATGGGGTGCCAGAAATATGGAATCTCCATGCAAGCAAATGTTGAAAGAGTACAATATAAACAAAGAACTTTCACTTCGCCCATGCAAGAAGTGACCCACAACTCTACGTACCAAGTAAACCAACTCAATAACCCAAACGTTTCCACAAACATAAAGCATATTGGAAGTCTTCAAACAAACGAAAGGTCCAAACACAAAGGAACCATGCAACTAAAGGTATAACCAATATGAATGAAAACAGTAAAGAAGCCTAAAGGATCTTTCAATCCTCAATGCGGTACCCATGTGTATATAAACCCAACAAAACCCACCATTTTCTTCTAATTCAGAAAATACCCAAGAAAACTAAGCCAGGAAATAGACAAAGGATTGAATGGGGGAAAAGCCTAGTGCTGCAATAACTGAGAGGGTCTATGAAGAACTTGAACCATCAACAGAGTGGGTAGAGGAGGAAGATTGGTACACTCTTCTTGTCTATGTGTCTGGTATGTGGTCCATTTGCCCTTCTCCATTGATGTTTAGTTAAGTCCTTGTTGTGATATGATCCAATTATACATGTTTCAGAATGATTTTGAGAATAATTGTGCCACTATTTGTCAATCATTTACCATGAATTCATCACAAGATCATACCCTCGATTTCAAATATATGGATCCCCTACTAATACATGACATATATGATTCAAATAAACTCTTATTTATTTACTTAGTCCAATTCGGCTGCTCGTGACAACATTATACTCACCGTTCCTCTTATATAATCCTAGCGATTGGATTTATATGTTCATTCTGATTGTTATATGCTATCTTTGTTTGAGATTAAATCTTTCAGGTCTAACTGA